GTTTTTCTATCTCTTTCTGGGCGCACATCTGAAAACACGAACCCTATTGATGTGATGATTTGTCCTACAACGTCCTGGTGAACGTGACGATCTAGCATCCTTCTATGGTAGACTTGGAGCACAGACCGCAAGACTTGGAAGATTTTGAACATCATTTTATCGTCGAATTGGATCACAGACTGCAAGACTTGGAAGATTCATCATTCAAATTTATGATCCCATGTGGATCACATTATGATGATGATACTCCGATCACGTCGCGCGCGCATAACCGAAACTTCTGACAGAACGGACACGTGGCCCTTGCATCGAGCTGAACCGATTATCGACGGCTCAAGGTTCTCATTCCCGGACAAGACGGCCGCGGCGCCTAAAACCGCGGGATCAACGTCAAAACCCGTTCGTAAACCCCCGGTTCCGAGCTATAACCCAGCTTTTCTGGCGCTTGAACGGCTAGCACTCTACGTGCGCCGTCTTCCCTACTTCTTCGCAACTTGCCGGCAAGTTGCGCAGGGCAACTCCTCGTCTTTTTCCACAACTCCCTTTCTATGATTAGTCGCTACATGCAAGTTTGCAAAGTGACTAGGATTACAGCACTCGCAATGGCCTCACTTTGCAACAGCAGGCCTTTGGCGGAGCCCATTCTATTAACGAATGAGCTCACAAGGAAACCTCTCTACTCGAGGAGAGAGAGCTGGGTTTTAGCCTTCATTTGGCATCAGGATTGGAAAAGAACTGTTTGGACCTTCTTGCAGCTCGTTAGGACCAGAAAAAGGGCTTCTTTCTATTCAATAGGAGCGTATGCCAAGGAAGCAATACGACGTGGGCTCCAAAACAAGCAGACAGATTTCCTGCACGATTTTGCAAGACATTTCAAAGAGACCACTAGTAACAATTCTACCATTCAGCGATCCAAGATTGAGCTGATAGCAGCTTGCATCTGCAGTGTGACTGCTGTGAGCGAGCTGCAAGATCCCATCGCACTTTGCTATCCATCACCTTCGATACATTTGGCGGTTGCGTTAATTGGCAGCCAGCTTTGATGCAGTTGGCGATAACCCCTCCAGGTGAACTTACAGAGCTGAGCTGATAAGGTTTAACTCGAGGACTTTAACGTAACCTGATTCAATGGCGAAACTACGAGGGGGTTCTCAGGCTTGGAAGAGGTCACCGCAAGTGTTCCTCTTGCTTCTGAGCTCGTTCTGTGGACTGGGCTCGATCGGCGCTGCACGGTTAGGTGAGCTGATCTGTGTGACCCCGTCTCTATTCTAGCTGTTACTGATGAGAGCCGCTTTTTCTCTCCAGCGCAAGAGCTCCCAGCTGCACAGAACTCAGTACAATGATCTTGGAATGAATGAAGTATGGTACTTGCTTTAGAGAAAGGTCGTGGGTGCTCCAGATCTCCAAGCGCATTTAACGGCAGTCCTGGCATGATGTGGCTGTGTGAGTGGGATCAGAACTGTGGCGTTCCGCAGTTGATAACGGGCTTGACCTGATAGTGAGCAACATATGACATCGTTCAAGTGGTTTACCAGCTTAGATGGGTAGATGGCCTCAGTCAGTCATTCCAGCTCGATATCACTGCGTTTCAAAAAAACTTTTTGCTACTCAAGTCCTTCATGGACTGGGTAGTTGGTTGCTTTGAACGTGCGCTCTCGTATTGGAAAACTGGTCTGCCGTCGTTTTTTCCTCAGGGGGGGCAATTTACAACAACACCATGTTGAGAAGGAAATGACTGCATCCATTGAGCAGTGTGGCCCGCAATTGATAGTGTCAGCTTCTTCATAGTCTGTCTCTGTACGCATTCCATTGACACAGCTCTTTCATTTCCTGCTACAGGTGGTGTGTCAAAAGCCACCCCTTCAGGCTTCGTGGAGGAAATGATTGCGCCCATCGAGCAGTTTGGCACCGTGGGGAGGGAACTCCTAGGAGGTGGGCAATCCAAACCGTTTCCTTTCCAACTCCAGTCCGTTTTTAAAACCCCTCACTAAACTTTCTGCGACGTGTAGAAGGACTTGTGCTGGCTGAACTTGCTGCCCAAGGTGAATGCTTCTATGATTGCAGAGAAGCAGCTGGGTTTGGCTGGCCCTCCTGTTTTGACGCTCGACATGAGAGCCGAGGACATTTCGACAGTGGATTTTCTTCATTGGCAATCTCGGCATCTCAGAGAACAGCCGTTAAAGAAGGTGTGCTTCCTATCTAGAGGGCATTATTCGCTCACAGATTGACCGGTTACTTACTTGCTCACTGATTGACCGGTTACCTAAATCAGGTCACAGCCCCTACACTACAAAAGCGTTGATCGTATCAAAAGAATGTAAGCCTTTGATAGATGGACCAGCAGAATATTGCCTGAAGACAGCCTTCGACTCTCTTGGGGAGTGCATCAGAGCTTCCAGACCCCGGCTTTGCTGGTACACTGACTCTACTCCTTGCATTTGGGAGGAGTGTGGGCAACCACGAAAATTTGGTTTTCGTGCACTCCTTCCGCACCTAGAAATAAAGGGTTGAGTTCGTGAACCAAAGAGAGGAGAGACTTCTCCTGAACGTTTTATGTGTCTGACCCTACAAATTCTCATGCCTGCGAAGCCGTTGGGGTATACTGTTGCTTCTTGCATCACCAAAAGACAATACAAAGAGAATTGAAGAAGAGACCCATCAAAAAAAAGGATAGAGTAACTCCCAACAGTTTCTGCCTGCTTTTCCACCGGCAGTACTTCAGAACCTCTGAAAAATGGAAACACTACAGTACCACTTCTATATGACATCTGCAAGACTGAGAAATGCAACAAGAAACGAATCACTCGTAAGTACTTCTGCAGAGTGCACCGACCCCACTATTCCCAATGCCTGCTACGCCTCAGACGGCTCCTTCGCGATCTGCTGTCCGGCCCAATGCGGACCGTTCTCGGACGGCTACAACCCGACCTGCGGACGGTACGGCGTCGACCCGGCCTTCAACTGGGGCGTGACGTCAGCTCGCCCGATGTCGACATCGGGGGAGTGCCCAGCGGAGGCGCCAAACCCGTGCTTCACTGCGGACAGCAGCGCGGGGTTCTGCTGCGGGGCGTCCGGATGCGGACCGTCCGGTGAGTAATATTTACCCAAGGTTGAAATGACTATGGAACTTTGGGCCCGAAGTCCATGGAGGGCCTTGCTTACGTCAGCAAGCAACGTGTCATAATTCTGCTGTGTTTCTCTGGCCGTGGATCCGTCCAATCACTGTACGAACCTGGAACGGGCACGCTACGACGAGTCCCTGGAATACAATTGCATACTTCAGCTTTTTATGGGTCTGAATGACGTCAGAAAAAGTGGCAATCTGGCCCAACAGCAGCGCAGGGCTCTGCTGTTATCCATTTGGCTGTGCAAGTGCGTGCACGTGCTTCTTTACGTATCTCTCTTTCCTTCTTCTCGGTCGTTTGTCTGCCTGTGTTTCTTTTCACTGTATTGTAATATTGGGAACACGGTAACTTTTCTGACATTGGGAACGAGGGAACGCATTGACCGGATTCGGTGGGCAGCGAACAGTCAAAAGGCTGCTTTGGATGCCAGCACACATGGAGAAGCAGCGGATTCAGCTTTGCTTTACGATATAAACCTCGCAACTCTTCCCCACCTTACGGCTTTACTTTGTGGTCCACCCGGCACTTGCTCGAGCTGAAAGACTGGTCCACTCTTGGTTTCCCTTGAAGTCGTCTCTCCGACTTTGTCAACGAATGTGAGCCGTCCAATCGGGTAGTCGTACGTTCCTACGTACATGCACTGGGTGCGACCCTTCGTTCTCCGCAGAAAGCTTAGGCGTCGGACGTCCGTCAGTAACAAACCCGCTTTCTTAGTGAACTCCTCTGAGTACCACAAAGGTAGCATATACAGCATGTAATAACGCGCGTGCTACGGAAAGCTGAATTGCTCCATTCTTTTGTGCAGGTCCGAATCCAGTCTGCAACGGCGATGCGACGATCAGCGAAGCGGTCACGACGTCGAACCCGACACCTGCTCCTACAAGCACCTCCCCTTCGACGCCGAACCCAACCCCAGCCCCTACAAGCACTTCCCCTTCGACGTCGAACCCAACCCCCGCCCCGACAAGCACTCCCCCTTCGACGTCGAACCCAACCCCCGCCCCTACAAGCACTTCACCTTCGACGTCGAACCCTTCTAGCAGCCCCACCGGCCCGCCCCCAACTTTGACACCAACTTCGCCGCCTACATCAGCGCCTACGACCGCGCCGACCAATAGTGTCAATACGCCGGCGCCCACGACGAATAACCCGACCCCCAGCGCCACTACGGCGACCGTGAAGCCCGGCGATAAGCGCACGTTCGTGCTGCATAACCTATGCCCGGAGAGCATATGGATCGGCATCTTTTGGAACGCGGATAAGCAGCCGATTACGTTGGCGAACACGGGGCAAGCGACGACGGGGTTCGAACTGGGGTCACAAGTGAGGGCTTTCACGGCGCTCATAGTTTTCTGTGGTCCGAAGACATCAGAAGCTCTAGAATTCTAGAACTTGATTGTTTACCGGCTTGCAATGTCAAAACTTGGAATTTTAAATTCAGTGAGTTTGTTTTGGTGTTTTCGGTGAGCCAATTCCGTCCTGAGGGATGTAGAGCATTTCAGGCTGTCAAGATCTGAGACTCGAGGCCGCTTCGGAAGTACAGAGCAATGGACGCTCGAGAGATAGTATTCCAATCAACGTCTTTGCCAGCATACTGCCTCTTTTGACGGGTTTGAACGGTCGGCGTGAGCACCTTGAACGGCTGGTTCTCTAGGACTTTAACGCTGTTGAACCTTCTTCGAACTTTCAGGTCAGCAGCCGTGAATGTCGTCTGTGCTTACAGGCAGCGCCCGTCAATTTTCGACGCCCACTTACAGACACTGACTTACCTCAATGGCTGACATCTGGACATTCGAAAACAAGCCAGCCTTCACTAACGAATCCTTTGCCACGTGTCATTCTAGGCCAGCGCCGGCGTGCTCGCAAGCAGTGACTGGATTGGTCGTTTTTGGGCGCGCACCCGCTGCGGGGGGTCGCCGTTCCGCTGCGAAACGGGGGACTGCGGGGGCGGAACTCCGTGCAGCGGACGGACGGGCGAGCCCCCGGCCAGCCTGGCGGAGTTCGCGCTCTCGCAAGCGGATGGACAGGTGCGTGACACGTGTTCTGCTCGATTTGGAGAAATTCGTGTCGAGATGGTTGGATTTGGTGTCAAAAGACCTGGGTTGCTTTCGCTGCTGGAAGTATGGGGAAAATTGGTTTTCGAATCGCTCCGGCGGCTGTCGAGATCCTGGATGTCTTATTACGCAACCTCGTTGGCAGGTAGTTGCACGCTTGTAAAACAGCTCTTGCTTAACCCAGAGAATGTTAATGTCCGAAGTGCAGGTAATCTGTCTAGCCTGACCCATCTCGCGTGCAGCACAGGATTCCCGCCCGTCGAGCAGACGATGGCCCACTGTAAAGTCATAAATGGTCGCCGAAAGCCGCTCGGGGTATCTTTGTTTCGTTTGAATCGTGGTTGCTTTTGTACAAGCAGAAACCGCTCGACTGAACGGAACCGTCCTTCAGAACCGTGCACTCTTAGCGAGTCGGACGGTGAACGTATCGAGACCTGGTGGTCTGCTTCTTCGCTGGAACGACGTGTCAGCACGGCAGCTAATTGGGTCCTCCCCTGTGATCCTCGCAGGACTTTTTCGACGCCAGCCTAGTTGACGGCTACAACCTGAAGCTGGTCATCAAGCCGTCCAACCCCGCCTGCGCCGCCGTCGGGTGCAGCTCCGACCTGCTCGCCACGTGTCCCGAATCCCTGAAAATGCGGAGCGCCGACGGCTCCCGCGTGATCGGGTGTTACTCCGCGTGTTCCGCCCCGGCAATGCAATCCGACCCGTTGCGCGAGCAATATTGTTGCTCCGGGAAATTCGCCGAGGACCCACATGGCTGCCAGGCATTGCACCCCGACCAGTATACGACGGCGTTTAAGGCCGCGTGCCCGAGCGCGTATAGCTATGCGTATGACGACCCGACGAGTCTGTTCGCGTGCAACAACAGTAATTACGATATTTACTTCTGCGGCGATGTGCCGCTGACCGCGTGAGGAAGGGTTTAGAGAAACGGATCTGCGGGTTCGTCAAAACTGCAAGGTTAGAAACTGGGTGAGGAAGGTGTTACGGGTGCGCTAAAAGGCGGGTTGATAGAAAGTTGCCTAAGCATTCTTTGGTGAGGACTAGAGGCCCGTTTCTGGTACGTTGCATCAGGTGATGGTATCCCTTTGAGGGTTAGGAGCCACCTTTGTGGAATTGATCGACTTACTGCAATCGGCAGCCTACGGAGAAGACCTACTTCTTGGATAGGTTGCAAAATGATCTGCTGCCAAGCTTCGACGACGAGTGTATCAACTATTCTGAGACGCGTAGCTCATCAGACTTAAGGTCGTCGAGGTTGACGTTGTGGGTGCGGTCATACGGCAACTCGGACGCTCGCCGTTTTAAGGTGCGACCGGCTTAGGCTGGCGCAGTGCCGGTGGTAAGTTGTTCTAGGAAGACTAGACGGAAAAGGTAGACTTTTCAAGTAAAGACGGAGATAGGACGGTTCGATGTACAATAGGATACAATGGTATCGTTGCATTTGGAGTTAAGCCTGTGCATGAGATCGTCGGAAGCGTGATTGCAGTGACGGGCTCAGTTAAGCAGTGCCCTGCAGGCGCCTTGTCATCATGCATGCCAGCCATACGTTTCTTTCTTTAGTAGTGATTCAATAATTGTAAGCTGGTCGGATCTCCGACGCTAGGCTGATACTATCCGCTCTGCTGCATGCGCTAGCTCTTAAAGATCATTAGTATAGAACTTCGCTAAAAATACTTCAATGCGGCATGACCTGCATTCGATCCGTTGATCGAGCTAGTTGCATGTGCATTATGTTTTGCCCAATTCATAAGTGAGTGTCTGCCAGACGTTGAGTCAAAGGTTCACTGAATCAATCAGATTCCGCTCTCGATTGATAAACTCGATCACGTTACAATTATTATACTATGGTCACTCACATGCCAGGTAGACCAACACTCCAAGAACCTGCAGGAGTTCAACTCCAACAGCACCTGCAGGTCCGTGGTCAAAACAGGTGCAGTCAGTCAAGCTGCCGGCCGGGCGATCACAGTCGTGTTTGAAGAGATGACGATCGGACTTTGCGGCGCGGACTATCGTATATAGTGGTGCCAGAACTTGCACTGATGCATGAAAGCATTAAATCTATATTTATATTGCTTTAAGTACACGGTAGTTGTGCATGTCGTTGCATTGAAAGAGTCCAGATTCCGGCTGCGCGGCAGCGCTAAGCTAGTCGATCACAAGACGGTTCTGCAATCATAAAATCTAACTCTGGAATGCTACTTGATTGAGTGACAGACTTGCAGCCGGATGGCTCGCATTCAAGTTATTTCAAATTGTAGGCGTTGGTCCGGCAGAATATTTCAATGATGAACGGACGGTTGCAAGGTGCGATGCACAACATGTATCCTGAGATGAATTCACTAGCCTTGCCAGCACTATACAAGGGATTCGCGCGTTTCAATTTCAAGCTTGGCCGGTCTTTCCGGCCAATTGAAGCATAATTTCGGGATATGTCACCATATGGATCGCCGCAACGTTTCAATGCAACCGTCCGGCCGCAAATCGACGGCAATTCGATCTCAACAAGTCAGCATCTTAGTCTTGATTGACTCTTGGAAAGTAATAGCTCTCAAATGGTCAGTAATGGGGCGTTATGAGCTAGAAGTTACCATAGTGACTACGGTGTTCCGGCATTGAACCCGTCAGTACTTGAATGATGATGGATTAGACAGTCTCGGTGGGAGGCCCGTACTACGAACTTAGCTTGACTTGACTTACAACAAAAATGGAAAAACCTATCGACAGCACATCAGCCCCTGATCCGAACCATAGGAGACTTGGAAGTTTCTCCGGTCAACCGTCACAGGCTGCGTTTATCAACCGAACCCCGCCCATCTTATAAATACAGAACTGTAGAAGGTCCGGAACTACCAACTTACAGAATCTCGAAGGGTCTGAAGTCACCGACTTTGATACGGAAAGATCTCAATTCACCAACTTACACAAAGGTTTCGCATTACCAGCTCCACAGTTTGCTAGGCACAATGCACATACGCTCACACACAAAGCGCACGTCACCACCCACGTGCGAACCACGCCTTGTCATCATTACCAACACATCATCATTGCTTACGTCACATCCACTTTTCCCCTACTCCTCGAGGTGGGGCAGCCCCGTCCCTTGCGGCGGCGCGATCCCGTCCCGCTTCCACATCTGATACACACTAGGCGCCCAATGGGACCCGTACTGTTCCCACATGGTTTTGTTCAAATAGTCGTCCTTCCGCAGGAGCTTGCGGCACCGCTTCGTCCCGCACAAGCATGGCATCACTTTGACGTCACTCAGGTACGTGATAGGGGACGAGTTGGCTGCCGTGCTATAGTCGAGGAGAATGAGGTCCCCGGGGTGTAGGTCGCGGCGCGCGAGCATGGTCCAGTCGTTGGGGTGGAACCTGGGAGAGGAATGTTGAATGAATTTGGGCTAAGGTTTTTTGCAGGGAAAAACCAAAGATAGAAGGAAGAGGTAATTTGATGCTCGGAACGCACATTTAGGCTAAACCGGCCGGAAACCCAGAGATCCTGTTGGAGTCCGGGAGTTTTCTGGTGGCACGGAACTTGGAGAACCTCCCAAGTTCGGCTGGAGATTGACCCATAGATCTTTCTTGTCGAGGAGGATAAGGTCCCAGGGTACAAGCCGCGGCGACCGACTACCGTACCAGCGTTTAATTTCGTCGGTCTGGGTGCCAAATAATTAATTATGAATCGATCTGACATTTCGGCGGAGTATTTTATATTTTTCTGACATTTCGTAAAAGTAGCATTCCCCTGCTAAAACCAACCATTACCAGCCTTTACCACCCGTACAATCAATCCGACCTTTTCGTCATCGAAGAAAAACACTTTCCAAAATATTTGGCAGCCCAATTAACTATTTAATTGAAAACGAAATTAAACGCTGGTACGGTATGTATCAGTCGTTTGGAAAAACCTGATTTGGCACCCCTCGAGATGGAAACAAGAACGACAAAGAGATGAGGCGAATCGCGGTAGTGATCTGAGAGCGCCGCATACTGAAATGCGCACGCCCAAAACCCTTATGTTCCGACAATCGAGAAGAAAGAGCTATCCGTGAGAAAGAATTGTGAAGATCGACTCCGTTCGCTCAATTGATGACGCGAAGGCTGGGTTCAATCCGCTTCAACAACTACGCAAAAGCTGGGTTCAAGAGGTTTCCAATTAAAGTTTCCAGAACCACGACGACCTTAAAAACCAAATCCGAGGTATCAGGGCGAAAGGAGCTAAGGAGTGGGCGGTTGTTCCCTTGCTCATTAGATGACCGCGTTCGTAATGGTGGCTTACGAGGATTGTAGAGGCCCGTGAAGGCGCCTCGTTGCTGAGCGTCCGAACGCCCTGAACTTTGCGATCTAAACTTGTGAATGCAAAGTAAAGTACTGGAAGTGTTACAGAAAAAAGGCGCTCGAGATCCTGATGGCCGCTCTTACCAGATGGTTGGGTCGCAGCTGTATCGATGAACCCGGCTTGCATTTATACAAGCAACCGCAAACTAGAGTTGGCATCGTCAAAGGAATCGTCAACAGAACACCTTGCGGCAGTTCTTACCAGATGGTCGGGTCGCAGCTGTGGTTCATGAACGCCGCAAAGTCCTCTGGCACTCCGTCCTCACGGACCGTCGCCGCTTGAAACTCGTGGTCCGAGATCTGCAAAAAGGTGGCCTTTGGATTTACTTTTCGAAGTCGAAAACGGGAGGGTCTTAACATCTTAAGGTTTGGGGTTTTCGAACTCGAAGCGCACTTCCCATTGAACTCGAGGTCCGAGATTTAAAGAGATTGGGGGTCTTTCACATTTGGGTTTGAAGACCTGAGGTGCATCCCTGCTTGGGATTTGTGCAAGACCCGGGCACACAGCACGTAAAAACCGAATCAAAGAATTGATGGATGGAATCGCAAGATCCAAGATTTATGGTCTGGGTCGAAGGATCTGAAGCGCAGTGCCACCACCAGCAATTAGTGTTCCGAGATTTCAAAATAGAAAGCAAAGGAGGTCAGGCTTTTGCGAAGTTCGTGGTGAGGGACTTCGCCTGCGCCCCAGAAGCGGGTCTCTCTCACTTCGACCAGAAAGGTTTCCCCAGCTGATCATGGTTGACATTTGCAGGATGAGAATCCTACTAGGTCTCAAGGATCGTAGGCTTCATTAAGGTGTCTGTCTGTTTTGATCTGCATCGGTCATGCGTGTCAGTAACGCAAAGAAGGAAAGCTTATGTCGGATTTACGGCACGCCACTGAACCATTGAACGGGAGAAGGAGCGAACTATCACTTACAAGAGACAAAGAAGAAGTGGAGGTAGAGGAATCGAGCACTTGCCTGCACCGCCCAATGTAGAAACTCTTCCCGCTTCTCCAGGGGGAGCGCTTCCAGTTGATCGACGGTCAGGATCGTTCCCTTGCGGTCCCGGAGATAGTGCCCGGTAAACACAATCTCCCCCTTGGGAATGAGAGCCTTCACAACCAGTTCCTTCTCCCCTGGGAACTGCGTACTCTCTTGGATCCAGACATCTGGGTTAAGGCCCTCGTAACCAGGGTCTCGGTCGTCATTCTGCAGGGTCAGTTAAGCAGGTGGTTACTGGCATCGTAGAGCAAGACCCGCTACTTGATAACCTAGCTGATACCTCAGAGAGTCGTTTGTCATGACCAGACTTTTCCTCCAAGGTTGAGTCGCTGCCTTAGGTCTAGACACCTGGGTTAGCTATCTCGTAAGCTGGGTTCCGATCATCATTCTGCATTTGTCCCTTTCAACAGTTTGGGGGGGAAATGTGGTTCTGAGATAAGGCCCTTGCAAACAAAGACTGGGCACTAAAGTGAGGCACCAAGAAGCGGGAAGTTTTAGCATAGGGACCAAGGCACATGACAACCGGCATATTGCAAGATGAGGGGAAAGGCAACGGCAATCTGGTGCGCCATGTTCTTAAGATGAGCAAGTGGAAGAGATGGACATAGAAGAAGCGCACACAGCAGGATGTACAAGTGCAAGATGGGATGGGGGGGGAAATTTCCAAAGTTCCATGGAGTTTTCTGTCCAGCAAGGTAAGAAATGGCCGCTGAAAGTGCCGAACGAGATAGCAGACTTTAAAAAGCATGTAAGCGGGTGTTGCGGTGGTTGCAACTGGGTAACTTACCCTGGACCAATCGATGACATAGTCTGCAGCTGCAGGAGGAGAAGAGGCTGATGTCAGCGAGACCATGATGTCAGCAACATCATCTGGCATTGGGGGCACTGACATCAGCAAAAGCTGAAGTAACATCTGGGAAGGATTCATCCTGTCGGGATTGTGGCGCAATGGAGTGGTCAGCTTGGCAAGAATCTGATAGACACTCGTTGTGGCAATCCAAGTGAGTGCAATTCTTACATGTTATCATGAGACATAAGAGACTGGCTTTCCTCAAGGGCTACGTTAAAATCAGCATGATACCTAAGATCACATGGAATGGTCAGGGCTCTACAAAAGCACAGCAAAGTTGGTAAGAACCACACTTCTCTTGAGAAGCCTGGGTGAAGCATTGTATCAGAGCACAGCATAGAAACTTGCTCATTTCGGCGGATGGTTTTTCCGCTTTGCAAGGGTGGTGCGATGAAATGATTTCTTCATCTGAGCGCATTTCTTCGAGGCAATCTGTCAATTTGTCAGCGATTCTTACCCCCGTTTGTTGCCATATCTTTCTTGCCCTTAATGCAGCGTAGCTAAGGGGATCCGGACTTCTTCCTGCAGGCAAAAGGGAGCATTTCAAGGAAGATCTGTGAATGCTGACAGAGCAGGAGAGATATGAGGGACAGTCCGACTGCATATCTCCTGGAGACATGACCAGATGCTTAGGTCCCTGCGTGCGCATCAGCCGACCGGTGGCATTGGAGCAGAAACGCAAAAGGAACAAGAGAGTGACAGCTGGCAAACGACACTACAGCTGAACTCACTTTCCAATGAGTTGAACCGGAAACAAGAAAATGACAGCTGGCAAAAGCTCCCTTCGCTCAAGCCGGTCCCTTCCAAGTTGGAGGTTTTAGCAATTTGCAGTTGACCGTTGTGTTCCAATGGCATTGCATTGGCAAGTAAACGGCGGATAGTATAACACAAATGCTCCACAAAGCAAAGACTTCAAGAATGCTCAAGCTTCATCGGAGCGTCTTGTTAAAGTTTCTGCAACAGCGCATGAGGTCTTTGCGCTGTGGATTATACAGGTGAGATATTTAGGCCAATGCTGGTTCCAAGAGTTGTATCAGTGAACCACCAAAGTCAAGTCTGGAAACAAAGAAACAATTTGATGACAGAGAGTCCTGGTCCCGGTCACATGAACTAAGCTCAAAGTTACAGATCTTTGTCTCAATTCATTATGAAATTCTCTTGCTGAAAGTGACAGGCAAAGTCCTTGACATTTTTTCAGGCTTTCCGTCTTTCTTCATATTCCATCAAATGCCTCCAAACCCCAGCTCACTTAGTATTTTGGCCATAATGTTTGGCAAACCTCACCACCAAATGCAATGCTGACAATATGAGGGAAAACAACACGCCTTATTGGGCTGAAAAGCAGCCACGCTTGCACTCACCACTGTAAGCTGCCTCAAAGGGACAGAAGGACCTCTTCGCACACCTTGCTTTGGCCGCGCTTCGCAGTTGGATGGAGCAACTCGGGTTGAGCAAGCCGTTCAATGGACAGAAGAAGTTCAGTAGAAGAGCAACGTAGTGCTTTCTGATTCAGAAAGAGAACGAAACAGATACGGTAGGTGCATTGGTAACTGTATTTTACTCCTGGTGGACCGTGGAACGCCAGCTGGAGCTGGAGCCTGAATTGGACGTGCAAGAAGAACCAGTGAACATTGCCCGGGTTTGCCGGTCTCCAAGTACCTACTACCGTTACTACCGTATCTTGCTGGCAGTGTCAGAGTACAGTACCATATGCTGCAGATTCCAGCTGTGAAGCCAGCTACGGACTAGGTACCGGATACCTAGGTACGGTAGTACCGGTAGTACGGTGTACCTACTACAGTACTGGTCACTACTACCTACCTAGTAGGTAGTACAGCGGTGTATGTTCAGTAGTATTGCTGTACGGTTCCATTTCACGGACGGCCATGCTTCCGACAATTACCGTTACTGTGTTAGCATAGCGTATGGGTCGGGGTACTTAGGGACCTCACTTAATGACACCTACTTGCTTATACCAGCCCGGTACCTACCAGGTATCAAACTCGAGACAAATAAGACAAAATAAGCCGAGAGAATACAAGGTAGCCGTTCCGGGACGGGTAGGGTTAATCTGGTGGTTAGGGTGCGTAGACGGGGAGAGTAGGTTCAAGTTCTTTTTGGGTTATGTTTTTAGTGTTCCCGGTGATCGGGATATAACATCTTATTCTTCGCTTATAAATTATCTCGCTTAATTCTTAGCCACCCTGCTACCACGGTCCGCAATGCGCATGACAAAATGTTATTACTACCTAATTAGGCTGCAGGCACGTCCCAGAAAAGTATGCCTGTTGCCCGGTCGTACCGATGTTCTGATGCCCTGGCCCTGGGGCCCTTCAATAGGTAGGTGACAAGGTGAATTTGAAGCGTACTGAGCATGATGTTGGATATTGACAAGCTGAGTCATCCATCATGCTTATTGTCAACTTGTCAAATCATAACTTAAGGTTACGGTGCCGTGCACTCTTGAATCTTGAGACTAACCACGCGTCCTTTTTCCACGACGAGTAGATCGGCCGCCACAAGCGGCCACCCCGCGGCCACCATTGTGGCGATATGCGCCACATCAATGCATAAAAAGTCACCAAACACCTTGCTTTGTGATCAAAAATTCTTACCAGCCGACCGTCGCGATCGGGCGGCACCTTTTGCCTTGCGACTTGCAATAGCCACACATGCGGTGAAGCCGATATATGCATTGTCGTTGAGCTGGGCAATCCAACGGGGTACAATCCGCTCACTGATTTTCAAGGTTACCAATTGATGCTAAGCCATTTAGTACGTCATGCAAGAGTCTTCGTGGGCCTTGCATGAAATCTAGCTTTTCGTGGCCCCAGCAAGTTCCTAGCTTGACTGTGTCATAAAGTGACCGTACTTTGAGATTTGGCGAACCGTCGCGCTCACTGACGGAGGTATTGTCGACGTTCTTGTTGCAGATGTCAGTAGACTGAGTACGAATCGACGGCCATACGCCCACCCCGGCCCTAATAACCCAAGTCGGAGCTCGCGGGCACCGACTGTATGACGTACTCGGAATCGATCGGTCACCATACATTTCTGAGCCGCCATGCTTGAGTGCTGGCGGCGTGGCGACCAGTGCCACATAGACGGTGTGACTTCCTATTTCTTTGCCTGAAAGTTGCATGAAAGAATGACTCGAGAAAAAGTTGCGGCCATTGAACAACATTTGTGGAAGGCTTGTTCATGACCCGGTAGGCTGGCCAAACCAAACCGTCAGGCTGTTGTCGTGGATTCTGATTAAACAGCAGAGTCAGACAATTGACCAATGTGCAGTCTGTGGGTGACTACTTGTAATACCCTGCATTCGATAGAGCACTTTATTGCATGCTTCTCACACGTCTCGAGGTAAGATTCATTGAATCGGTAGACGCCCTACGCCTTATGTATCTCTAGATGGGAGCCCACCGGTAACAAAAATCAAGCGCAGACCACGCAGAGCCTAGCCGAACTTAGATTCGAGTCAGCCAGCAATAAGCTGCTTGACATGTCTTAGGAAGATATCGTACCATATCATTCGACAGCCCATTGAGAATGCCATTAGCGAGACCGAAAACCCCTCAATTCTGATATAGGAAAACATAGGACCACTGTTATTAACGACTGCGGCCGGTCCTACATGAACAGCAGAGGCCTTGATCTCACGGGTACCTTTCCACCTGATTTCAGTCGTCGAAGAGCCTCGCGTATGTGCGTGGGTCGGATCGGCCCGGTCTCGTTCCATTCGGTCATGACCTCCCTAGCTGCATAATAGAGAACGGGATAATCAGACAATGCATAAGTCTTAATACCCTCTTCCCTATCTTGGAAAACGATGATGCATTGATGCACGGAACAGTTATTGATAGGGGCTCAACGTGGACCCCACTGATCGTGCCACGTGTCTCGCCGTACTGAAGCTCATTAGATGATAAATTAAAACAGAAAGCACTGGCATACGGAAAACTCGAAAAAACGGGACCGGACAGTCTGCACGTCTCTTGCTTGGAAGTGATCATAGTTCGAAGGCTCAACTATAAATCCTTGATGGTGAAGCCTTTCCTTGAAAGTACTGAACAAAGTTCGTCGAACAGAGTCAAGACGCGACAAAAGGCCAAGAACCGAGCACGGGAGAAAGATGAGGCAGTCATATTATCATATCTTCGAACTGAGTGCAAATTGAGATTGCTCGAAAGACAAATGGTTCAGCCAAACCACCGTATTATCCAGTAAGTGCATCCAAAAGAATCTACGAGAAACATGGTTCAGATAGATCATCGTGTCTTCAAAGCGAGTGCACGCAGAAGAATCCTTAAGAAAGATGTTTCGCCAAGAGCACTGCAGACGGGCAAATGGGACCTTAATCGAAGACAGGGACCAAGTCTCAAATCAGGAACACAAAAATACGCACTATTCTTGACCAGATCATCAACCCGGATGACTAGAACAGTAAATCGCGAGTCTAAAAACCGTAAATCTAAGTAAGAAGAAAGTTCGAGGGTTTCCGCTCACCAGTTTCGACTAAGTCGCCGACAAACATTTTCGAGAGACCCCCCATGACGATACTCATTGGGATCGAGACGTTGCTCCCAGACACGCTCTGCATCAACTGCACAAAACGAACGGAATCAATTAAGGTGCAATCAACATCAAATCCAGATCAAACTGCAGGAAAGAATCTTACGGAAATCGGGGAAGACAAGCGAAGCTTATTTGAGAGATTGCAAAGCTTCAAGAATGCTGATCCGATACAGATCCGTCGCTGCTAGGTCACTCATATCCTCGCCTCCCATCAAGGCCTATATATTGGGTTGGGTTTAGTCTAAGAACCGATAGCAGGTTCGAAGCCTAAGGCAAATGCGTTAATGGATCGACGGCTAAAGAAGGAGAGAAGACTTGCAAAGTCCAGATCAAATGATCACGAGAACGTCTGACAGGCGCCTTTCCGGAGATTGTTTCTGTCCTTTTTCTAGAAAAGGAGTCAGCATGGTTTCGGGAGATGTATGAAAGCAGTGACTACAAGCCAACAATGAGAGTCCCCCACTGCTTTGCTCAACCGTAACTCCACGGAAAGGACACATCGGAAAAAGCAGAAACGAAAAGGGAGAGCTAACCCGTTTTAGGTTCGGCCGCGACAGCCCTGATCGTCGAAAGCACTCATACCGCCGCATCTGCTCTTCAGTCATAGACGCGAAGATTTGCCTGCATAGAAAGAAAGTAACGGATCTTCCTGACGGTTGTAATCTTTGGAGGTATTTGCTGACGTCATGATTCTCAGGTATATGACCAATACCGCCGAATCTGCTCTTCAGTCATCGACGCAATTATCTGCCTGCATAAAGAGAAAGCTGTGGGTTCTTCTGACGGTGTATCTTCGAAGATATCTAATGACGTCATGATCCGTCAGGTATCGTCATGATCGTCAGGTGTGTAACCACTTAAAGCACTAATACCAACGCATCTATTCCTCGGTCATTGACGCAAATATCTGCCTGCATAGAAAGAAAGTAGTGGATCCTTGTGACGGTGTATCTTTCGGAACCCGTATCTGCTGACGTCATGATTCCGTCAGGTGTATGACCATAAAAGCACTCATACCGGCGCATCTGCTGTTCAGTTATTGACGCGCATATCTGCCTGAATGAAGAGAAAGTAGCAGAGCTTTCTGAAGGTGTTTGATTCAAACCATCTGCTGACGTCAGAGTTCGTCACGTATATGACCATTCGAAGCACTTGTAGAACTTGTAGCCTGCTCATGAGCCGTTGTTCCAATCATCTGCTGTTTACCTGCTCACACGGTATGTAACAAGCCTGAGCTGAAAAGCCTGTCGTCATCTGTCTATGGAAAGCCTTGTCAAGAACATCATAATCATAGTCAAGAGGAAGCCAACTATGCTGACGTCATTGCTCCAAACTGTTGATCTCGCTGACATATTTCCTCTAAGAGCTGTGTTGTTCTGGCGACATCATCAGAAACTCAGCAACGACGAAGTCACTTGCTTGCGAGTGCAAAAACATACTTTCCAAAAGACAGGTGAGTAATGACGGCAATCAAGATTTTTGTGAAATCGATCTCATTACCCAAAACCAGGGCATCGATCGATTGCACAGCAGGGTTGGCGAACCTTTTTCACCCAAGGACTTCTGAAGAGCATACCAACCGACTTCCTAGGCGCATAGTCTCCCCTTTCCCTTTGACGGTGGTTGCATCGGTCAGTGGCTGCCCAGACCTAACGACCTTCCAATCTGAGCCTCACTTCAGAAGTACGACGCGGAATCATTATTGCCCTTCGCTTTAAAACGACCTTTGACTACAAGGCAGCATACATAGAACATCCCGGCTCGCAATCTCCAGGGGCTAAGGACCTTGGTAACACAATCATTCTCGACTGCGAAAAGAAGAGGCCATTTAAATGGAAAGGCCGTTCTACCTGGCAGAAACAACCCAAAATCCTAAATCAGCTACTCATGCGCTCCGCACCCAACCCACCCTAACCCCCAAGCTAACCCAACACATCGCCCGGGGTTGACCCTATCATTCATGCGGCTCTTCATACTTCATGAATGAATACTTTTATGACAGAAAAAATTTGAAGACTCACTGCATTCGCTCCGGGTCTTCCTTCTGGTACGTGTCCCGGCCAAACCCAAAGTCCGCCTCCTCTTCATCGTCCTCTGGGTCGTCGTCCGTTCGGAGGTTTGGGGCTTTACTGCCCAGCCTCGATGGCCCTGGAAAAGGCACCACACCGGCTTTCAGAGGGCGTCAGACCTCAAAGCGATGTCTTCTGGGTCAATTCCGTAAAGTTCTTTAGGTCTTCGACTATGTTCCATGGCAATGTGTTCGGATAATGGAACCAAAATTCTTAACAAATGCTACGACTATATTTATTTCCATCCTGGGATGACGAATCCCCGGTTGCACCTTTCTAACAAATTACTAGGGAGTGATTAGATCTGTAAACGCCTCAGAGCGAAGACGTTGATATTACTTACTGCTGGCATCTGAATTCGAGGAAATCTCATTGAACGAACAATATCGCATCTTGAGATCTTGCCTCAGCAACCAATCTGCCCATTTTTGCGGATTCTGGTCGCGAAGGCTTTACGGGGCATGGGACGCCCTCAGTGAGAAATTCAGCAGGAACTGAGACACTTGTCAAGGCCGAAAGAGCGATCCGATGTTTTCCCCGGCGATATCACTTGTTTCTCGAGCACTGTAACCATGGAGGCGTGTGTATTCTCGCCCACTATCGAAGGCCTTGAGCGAGGCAAGGAGATGGTTCGATGAGATTGCATAAGATTCATGCAGACTATCTTATGAGCATAATTGGGAGATTAAAATCTGTGCCTAGATGCTCTGGTAGGAAAAAGTTTGCCAGCTACGCTCTGAAGCATCAAGCACACACTCATCGAGTTTGGCGCAATATCAGAAATTCCCAAGGTTACCAACCAAATATTCAGCTCTCAAAGAAGCAGATTTTAGGATCTTATCCCCCTTGTCGTTTGCATGCGGACTTCTCCAGAGTGTTAGAGAGTCTATGCCAGAAACAAAATACCCAAGCCCCCGCCCGAATTGTACACTTTTGAAAGCCCCTGCCAGCAACGAGCCGCCAGATTCAAACAGTCCCGCATCTGAGTCCAAAGTGCACAAGGGAGGCAGTTTGCCAACAAGCCAAGCAGACTACGTGCTTTCATTCGTTTTTGAAAGCGCAACACCAACAAAAGGATGGGCAAGAGCCAATGCAGGACGACCGATGGAACGTCCTCAACTCTGTCCAAAAGGCCCCACTCAAAAGCAAGGCTTCGCAACTTCACATGTTCTGTAGACGATGCAGTCGGCGGCTGCTTATTGTGAAACAAGACCCACCCAAATATTGCACCAAAGAGTGTTGCCTGATTCCACAGCTTGATTGAACGTTCACCCTACAACAGACTCTTGCGGCTATTTTGGCTCCTCTATTAACACCCTTGAATCAAGGACTTCTACAGGGATTGAGTGGCCTTAAAGTGAAACTTTAAAATGGAGTGGGTGCGATCCTTTAGAACCCCAAGACTGTATAGAAAAAGCCCAGTCACTTCCACAGGAAGTTGGAAATCCACAATAAAAAGACCAAATCATTGCAAGCATGCTGACATTACGCAATGCACACCTGCGCTGCTCTTTTCCATTGGCCGACTTGCCCCACCGTCCCTGGTTCCATCCCCCTCACTCTCCCCCCCTTGCTTCGACTTCTTCCCGTCAGCAGCCCCCTTCCCTCCCCCTTTCCCTTTGGCACTCTTGACACCGCTCGCCTTCTCTCCAGCCGCAGCGCCTGGCTGAGCTGACGCGGCGTCAGCACCTCCCCAGACCACTTCCATCAATGACGAGGCAGGGACCTCGGAACTAGGCGCGGGAGCCGTTGCGGCCGGAGGTTTTGGTTTTCGAATGTACTTGCGCTTCTCTTTCTTCTGGCCGTCATCCGGTGAACCAGTCGCCTCCCGCTTCATCTTGATGCTTGGGGGCTGTTCGCTGCGATCTTCCCTTCTTTCTTCACAACAACCTTGCGGCTTCCGGCGTTCTTTTAAAAACAATGAAGTCCACTAATACAGAGCCTGGTTGCTTGACTACCAAAGTGGCAGAAGCTGTGCTGTGTGCAGCTGTGTGCAGCCGCCTGCCTTCTTTCTCAGAAGCTGGGAAACTTTCGAAGAGAAACTTTGTAGCGCCAAAGTGAGCGCGCACCCAGCTAGGCAAAACTACAGCCAGGCTAGCTAGGCGCATCAACGTCTACGCGCGCACGGCGGCTTCTTAGGCGGCCGCGGGTTTGGGCGGCCGCCCGTTTGAGGCGGCCATGTGGACTCGAATTGGTGCGCGAGCGGCAACTTTGTTTTGATGGTTGGCAAATGACAGCTACAAGTGGAAGAGCCTACAACAGCACAAATGTACGCTTGGAGGGACGTAAGTGGGTACTTCTTGTCCCCCTTGAAATTCCTTCCAGGTACGTGGGTACTTCTTGTCCGGACTCTGAAGACTACGGTAGTCGCCATGGTGTCGCCATGGTGTCAGAGCCATGTTCGTGATACCTGAGGCGGCGGCGGCGCCCTGGATGAGCGCAGCGCGCGTGCCTAGCGGCGGCCCGCGCACGCAGTGCTCGACGGGCCCCGCCAAGATTTGGTCATCAACGCCTGTGCTGTGGGCAAGGTGTGGGCAGATCTTTTTTCACCAGGCCATGTATGATTGTCAACTCCATGGTCTGGACAGTGATTGCTTCAGTGATAATTGTCATGAATGCAACTGTGTGGATTCTACAAAGCGTGGCACGGGACTCGTGCACAGATTCTGCGAAGCAATGTATGCTGGCAGCATGACGCATTTCTGGAAGCGAGAAAGGCAATGCTGAGCCGCCGGACTGTGAATCGCCACTTTTGGCCCTTTTTTGAACGCCAAGCAAGAAAGTAGCCTCACAGCGCAAATGTTCTAATGAGGCTGCACATTTAGACCGCAGGCATGCCAAAAACTCTGACAGTCTGAGTTTTCAATCATATTGTGACCAAAAAGGTACATCAATGACGAACGTCTCAAACGTCACAGTACATGCGGCGACAGTACGTGTACAGATCTAGTCGCTCTTCTGACCGAGTCGGGGCACTGGAAAGAAGCACTTTGAGAAGAGATCAGAAAGCATATTGAGACAAGAGGCCATTACTCGTCTTCGAAACGGCACATCGGTCCAATCTCGAAAACGACCAAACATTCGTTGCGTCAACAAGGGGCAGCTTTGTGTAGTCCCTCCATTATCATGGCCGGGGTTGGCGGAATCCGTTGTGTCAAGACCGACACTGGAAGCAGCGTCTACAGGTACCTGACACTCAGTCCTTTTCAAATTTCCATAAGCATGATCTGTTAGCAATGCACGTGAAAGCGACGTCTTGCGTGTTGGTTGTGTGGAATCCGAGTACAGCTGCTCTGAGTCGGACGATCGGAAGCCCACTTAAGTAGGACTGTAAGCACAGATGATTCGCAGCCAGTTCAAACAGCAAAACACTTCGAGAAGTGCCAAAGAGCTCTTACTTTAGCAGTGTTGCAGCTACAGTAGTCACTTGCTTCGTACGACGTTCGACACTGGTCACTCTGGATGCTTCCAGGAGTGCTTTCACAATCAGCAGTCAGAGCTTCCAAAAAACTTGCTTGGCACGATCCAGAGCAGCCCTTAAACCTTATTGGCAGAAGAGTGTCCGAACCATTTTCACCCGATTCCTCCCAGGCAGACACACACCCACACGCACTTTCCCCGCACCCAGCCAGCCTCGAGCCACAGTGTCAAGTTGGTGCGATCTGAAGGCCCCCGGGCGGAGTTCAACTTTGTGGGCTTCAACGGGGAGCTCAAGGTGAGCTTTGAAATCCGAAAGGGAAGTTGGAAAAGGATTCAACGTTGAGGCAGTCTGGTATTCTGCTGGAAACAGAAAAACTGCGTTGAATGCTGGCTACTAAGCGATATGCTTTCTCGGAGAATCGTCCTGATCTCCAATCCTTAACATCCGACGCTAAGCGCAGCTCAAAATTGAACACAAAAGACTTTCGTATGGCCAAGAGTCGGACTGAGGTCCAAGCCTGTATAGAGCTGACTCTAACGCCCTATCTCATTGGACGTGAGCTTGCATTTGCGGTTCGCAACTGCACTTCCGAATTGGCAAGGGCTTGCCAGATTCCAACGGATACAAACTCGCATGAGCCTCGCACAAGCTCGCGCAAAGAACGCGAGTCGAGAGGGGTTGCGAGTGGTTCGTCTGATGCCAAAGAAGAAGCATGTGATCGATTTGCTGTGACCCAGGTTCGGATAAGGTCCATATTTGATTCACTTTGCACGTCGAGACTGTCACTGAAATTGCGGCTCCCGCGTCCTTGTAACGGCCGAGCAGAACCCGAATCCGCATCAACCACAAGCACTTCAAGGGTTCTTGAAGCGACGTCAGGCCCTCGGATGCACTCCTGACGCCAGATGCATTAGACTTGAATGCATTTCTGACGTCAGCTTTTGGTGGATCCGCAGGATCACTTGCGGCTGGTGGACGAGACACTTTTGAACGTCTACAAGAAGGCCTCGTCGGCAAAGGCTGAGTTGCAGCTAGAGGTAAAGCAGCGCCCATATTATTACTCAAACTCCTGAGGGTTTTTGTGCAGTGAAGCCAAGCTAGTAGTCAAGGCTGAGCACACCTGTACGGCGGATGCGACGGTACATTTAGGAGGCCAAGTGTCGGTGCTGGAAGGCTGCTTTCAACCTTTTCAGAAATATTAAGAAGACGGAGGTTGGAGACTTTGACAGGGCAAGCTCAGCCACAAGCAGGCTGCGAAGTTCAGCAAGCAAGTCCTCGTTATTCAGTGGGTCCAGATGTCCGCCTGCCATTCGCGATGCGGAAATGTTCTCCTTGTGGGCTTCACGAAATGTTCCCCACCGCTTTGATCAGCCAGAACCGTAGCCGACTGAGAGCGGGAACAAAGAACCAACGGACACATCGATCTTCTCTCTTTGAGCGGTTTTGCCTTTTCCTTACTACTTTTTGTCTCTCCTCTCTGCAGACGCGCCCCTCTGATGTCGAGCCATCCGTCATTGAGCTTCGCCGAAAAGCGAACGCGAGGTGGGCTTCCGATCGAAAATCTGCTTTGAAGCATCGATCTCATGATCACCTCGTTCAGACGCTGAACCATTCCAAGTTCGACGGCTTTCCAAACACAAAATTGTCGATCGTTGGTTCCTTCACTTCGAACGGCGGGCCGGTTGCAGCGTTGACAACACGCACAGCAAGTGCGTTCTCTGTGCCCGATTCCAGTACGGTACTGATGGAGATGCCGGGATTGAACGTCGTCAGAACAGCTTATGCCTGATCACCCGCCTGATCCGGCGGTCGCTTCCATCCTGAAAGTTATCACCTACACTTTCATCTCTGCAGCTTCTTGAAGCAGATGGACTTCTTTACGTGGTCATGGGTTCAGTTCGAGCGGCTCAGGCAGGAGTCGGAAGCGTCGGACTAGCAATAGAAAGTTACTTGGGCTGCCGCCGGTCGCGGCTGATCAGTTTTGAAGGGTTTCGAAGAGCGCTCGACACTCTTTAGCACCCTCATACGTTCGCGGCCAATTCAGTGGACGAGCTTGATTGCACGTTTGTCGTCTTAGAACGGTACTGTTTCGAGCGGTTTGCTGCAAATTCCAACGGGTGCAGAACTAGGCGTCGGTCGACTCACGCGACCTAGCAAGCTACCATTAAGCAGCGTTTTCTCGATTGAAGACTCGCGAGTCCTCCGCGGTTATGTACAGCCTTCGCCGAGATCCTGACTACGTGTTGGTCCATCCAATTCATTTGCCAGATTATCTTAGTACAAGACACTGTATCTTAGGTTACTGCTGCTTAGACAGGCTTCGTTTCGCTTCTACCATCGGTGCAACACTTGCTTATTCATAAGCTGGAGGCTGCCTTCCAGAGTATCAGGTATACTTTGTACGACATGCTCTAAACCGTACGTGCATCCGGGATCTGGCAAATTGTAGGTTCCTTTAAAACGGCGCCCGCGAAAGCGAGTGTGCAGAGGGACATCTCATGTCAATGATCCAAGCGACGTACGAAGCGTCTCACCACCTTGGATTGAAGTTCGGAATCGCATGATATATGCAGTTGTGTACGGTACAGCCGCAGAGCAGGGTCAAAGCAAATTTTCGTGCCACTCAGTCAAACGGCCGTGATCGATACACTCAGGTTGAGGAGACTAAAACGCATGGCCGGCACGAAGAACGCGCTGTGTCTTGAGCGAGAATTTTTGCTATTGCATTTCAAGTTATACTGCATCATGCGCGAGCTGAGAGTCTTATTAAGTTATCTCAATGGAAGTCATATCAAGCGTACAGGAACTTATGTAGCTGTTAAAGGTAACCACAATCATTTCAACCGTCATCGCAAAACGAGCCTGGCACTCCAGACCTGACTTGACTAGTGAACCCCTAACACACATAATACACAAAGTTTACTTTCAGCTCCCCGCTGATACTTACACAGACAGCCATGCGCCTCGTCACCCGTCCCTAATAGTTCGCTCGACCTAAATGCCGTCACGAACTTCATCGCCCCAAATCTGAACTTCATCCTTTGAACGACCTACTCCTCGCACACTCCGAACCACCGCTTCACGTACCCACCGAAGAGATACTCTGTTTGGATCTCTCGCAACCTTGCCACTTCTAACTAACTCTTTACCGACCAGATGCGTTGTGCCCAGACCGCAGATGAGCAGATCCAGAAGTGACCCAAGTATGTTTCCTCTCTACTCTGTCTGATCTTCCGCAACCTTGCCCAGATCCAGAAGTGACCCAAGTATGTTTCCTCTCTACTCTGTCTGATCTTCCGCAACCTTGCCACTTCACATTTTGTTTCAACCACATGCAATGCATTCCTCCCCGACTGCAGAAAGTGACCCAAGTATAACGGTATTTTTTTCTTTTGGTCTTTCGCAACCTTGCCACTTCTTACTTGGTACCAACCAGATGCTTTTTTGCCCCGACTGCAGATCCACAAGTGTCCTAGTTATATTTCCGGTCCCCGGCCTGTGTCTTCATCTTGAAGTGCGCGTCAGCATTGTTCCCGGTCTGCACGCCCCGGTGACTGTCGATGCCGACGCCGCCGCCCTTGGTTGGGACAATGCTCTCGCGCTGGTTGAACGCGGCCGCGGCTTGTGCGCGCGCGGCCAGGGAGCCCTTCCCAATCTCGTGGCCTGCACGGACGCAACCCGGGTAAGAAGAAATGAAGCAAACTTTCTGTTCTGTTCACCCGGTCTGTTCCAATACCCCGAGAGAAAGGACGTGCTGGAATCAGGATGCGGACCTCAGTTTTCGCGTCTCTGATTACTAATCATGGAACCGTAAGACAGTTGCGTTTCCAACCATCCTTACTGTCTTCCATTTTCGCACCCTGAGACTGCGCCACATTAAGACTACACAATAAGAATCTTCTCTGCATCGTCACCCACTTTCATTCCGGATATGCCGCCTGGATCCGCGCCGCGTCGTCACCTAGTCGATCGGCTTGCCCCGAACATGGAACCTTCGCTTGTCTTTGACGTTCAGCATAGTAAAGGGAATGGAAAAAGGGACATAATATCTTCTCCGGTTCCGTTTTGCCGCCAGAATCCGCGCCGCACCGTCCTGGCCGACGGGCTTGCAGTCCCGGATCTCGTGCACGTCTCCGGGATTGCCTCCGACCTGAAACCTTCTCATGCTTCAATTATGAGTAGAAATGAGACTAGTGACTGAAGGGCAGACAAAAACCAGACACATGAATCCTCACCAGCCTCCATTTCCGCCGCCTGAATCCGCGCGGCATCGTCCGGGTCGATCGGCTTGCCCCGGATTTCGTGCACGTCCCCCGGCTTGCCTCCGATCTTGTCGCGCTGGTTATCGGGGATGTCGCGAGGGAGGGGCGTCTCGACCTCGATCCCGTGCAGAGCCATGTCGATGTGCTTCTCATCGAGTGTCCCGAAGTTGGGCGGGGCCTGGAAAAGAAAACAGTAATCAACATGACGTCATCGAATTATCCTAAAATAAGTTCAACGAATCTGTGGGATTCCTTCCGAAGTGCATATCAAGCACTCCGTGCAGAGCCATGTCGATGTGCTTCTCGTCCAGTGTTCCGAAGTTGGGCGGGGCCTGAATGAGATTAAAGAAAAATGACCGATGAGGTGACGTCAGCATCAGAACACTAAGAAGCGAGAGCAAAGTCCTCGACCTCGATACGTGCAGAGCCATGTCAATGTGCTTCGTCTAATGTACCGAAGTCGGGAAGGGCCTGCGTCTGATGGAATGTCAAAAAGGAAAATCACCACGCATGAAGGCCCGTTATTTATGTTTCGAACGAGTGTGTCAGCTCCGAACGAGTGGCTGAAAGAAGCGCGTCTCGATTGCAGCCTCCTGTGGGTATTTACGTGCTTCCCGTTAACTCCGAAGTTCCGGAGGGCCCTGAATACATGAAATCATGAAATGACGTCAAGATGAGGAGACGGCCGTCCAGATTTCATATACTCTACGTTCTTAGTTGACTCGCACTTTTGACCATTCCGTGCAGAGCCATGTCCACGTGCTTCTCGACCATCGAGCGTCCCAAATAATATGCGATCAGCATAAATGCCTATCTTCAAAACGTGTGAAAATATTCGGTCGGAATCCGCGTTCCGCGCAGCGCGTAAAGTGCCGCTGCTTCGCATCAAGGCTCCCGGTAGACGCTTGTATACACCGGGCGGAAAAAGTCTCATAGCATGACGTCAGCGCAAAGTTCTCAAAAATTATGTGCGAACAAGAGTGTAAGTCTCTTTCGGAAGTCCTTTTCCAACAATCCGTGCAGCACGACGAAGCGTGCTTCCCGTCAAGTCTCCTCAAGTCGGGGAGGTGCCTGAATGAGGTTGAGAGGAAAAAAAGAGTTGAGATGACGTCAGATTTGGCATCAAAAGACTTGGCGTAGGCAAGCTTATTGACAAGTGCACAGTCGGAGTTCCGTGCAGCCCAATAAAGTGTGTTAACTATCGAGTTTCGTACGGTACGGCGGGGCCTGACAAGCAATCAAAATGCCGGGTCAATAAGGTGCCTTTAACGCAAAAGGACAACAAACGAGTCTGTTTCATCTTTTCCGAACAGCTTGATTCCTCGCAGCAATTGCCAGTGAAGTTCCAACGATTAATCCAAAGTTGGTGCCGGCGGCCTGAAAACAATTGCTGAATCGTGTCGTCAGGGTGAACCTCATAAGGAAATTCACAAGAGAAAGTCGTTCATCTGCTCAAAGAGGAAGAAAGACCACGAGCCACGGTCGAGGCAAGCCTGCTCTGGACTGAAGGGAACGGACTTAATTCTCAGCGTGTTCTCTCTTTCGCCCTTCGTAAACTGAGCCCAGTGATCTGGAACCCAGCTTCTGACTCTGATGTGATGGAGGACTAGGGATGGAGGAGCAAATGGTCCCTTTGCAGAAAGGTAAGCTGATCTGCGCTTTCCATCACTAGCTACAGTTGCATAAATGCCTGAGAAGAAGAGCTGAAACTTGATAGGATCTTGGATATTGAAAGGAACCTCACAAAGTAAAAGCAGGGAGGACAGAATCAAACTTTGGTGGATGCGCTTCTCCACTTTGTAGGTCCCTCTTCCAAGGCAGAAGACTCTAAGATTTTAAGATGGAAAGCGATGGTGTGACGGATTCAGCTCCGCTGGGTCATCTGCCTGAGGTCTTTCAGATTCACTTTGGAGCACATAGACCATACCAAGCAGACCCGCTAGTGTGAGGACGTCAGACTTCGTGGGAACGAAGGGAATCTTCGAACCTGAGGTGCAGCTTTCAGAATCATTGAAGAGTAAGGTAATAACAGCTCGAAATTTGTCACACACAATTGCAGGACCTCATCAATTATTGAGTCAATGTGAATAAGATTCTGAGCCTCGTTTCAGCGTAGGAACTCCAATTGATATACTTATGCGTCATGCACGACGTAGAATCCGTCCATGACTGGAAAGTAGTCAACCAATTTGCAGCTGGGAAATTAGCCTGTACAAATGCGCGTCCAATAGCACTTGCATGTCAGCCTTACGTTGTAATTCTTCCCAATGTACAGATTGATCGTTCCTCAAGAACTGAAAGCGGAGGAACTGAGCTGGATTTCGACTTCACATGGATCGAACGTAAGAGCAACTCTGCTTCACCTACCTGGTCTTGTTGCGTCGATCTCAGAAAATACGTATTTGAAATGGAAAAAAGAAGGAACTTCGACTCTGATCGAGAGTGATAGCATCCAGGAGCAACTTCAGTCTGGTCCACAAACCTGCTCTTGCTGCCTCTGCTTCTCCTCTTCGGTCAACGAATGCAGTCGCTCTCCTTCGCCCCTCTTCATGCTGAGCGTTTCTTCTTCGATTGTGAGCTAGCACCAATCAAAAGTACACGAGAAGATCACAACTTCTCTCCGAATCCTCACAGAAGCGACTCCTGCTTTTCAGCGGTCCCTCTGCTTCGGGTTCTCTGGTTCAATACCTCTCGATACTCAAATGCAGAAGCTTTTCAACGATAGGTTCGCCAGGAGCTTCGAGTCCTGCTCTTACAGTAGCGGACGCCTGCACAAATAGACTGCGCAATCTTGTGCTCGACCAACGTAAAGACAAATGCTTTCTCCCATCCTTCCTCGGCAAGCTGAGCCAACTTCTAAAAGTTGAAAGCTCGGAAACCCAACTACCGAGGCCCGGTATCACCACCCCGGGCAACTCCGCGGCCCCAGTTGCTTGGCAGTCCCAGCAAGGAGCGCCCGGTTCTATCCGCGCATGCGCACAGTAATATTACATGCATGCATGCTCACTTTCATCACGTCGCATGCACTGTGACTCGGCCACCTGCAAAAAGGTACCGTACATGTGAGAGCGGCAGCTGGCGTCGCAGGAGAGGAGGACGACTGGAGCGATCAGGCGCCTTTCAAGTTCTGAAAACCTTAAACCTCTCAATCGCGCTTCGCAATCGCGGCCGCGCGGCTCATTGAATATCCGCGCGCGCGCGCGGCGGTCCGGTTGACGCTGGCAGTTTCCGGGGGAGTTCTCATTCTGGCCAGGTTGACGCTGATGTCAACAGCTAGCCTGGGGGGGAGTTCTCTGAACCTGCACCTCAAGGCTTGGCTCAACCCATCTGCGTGGTCGTTTACCCTGCAATCCAGCTAGGAGGTACTAGTTGGGGCATCAAGGACAGCAGTCAACAAAAACTTGTCTTTGAAGGCGCACGATTCTTTGATTGATGGCACCTAGGGAAAAGAGGCGGTCACCCGCCTTTGGGGATACTATAACTTATATGGAAGAGAGCCGCGTCGAATAGGGGTCCAAGACATGCAGCTGAGCTAGAACATCGGTTTTAGGTGTGGGGGTTCAAAAATGACGGCAATGTAGGGTTTACACTGGGCTGGATATGAGCAGGTCTCCCTGGATCGTATCTAGCACTCAACCATGAGGTTGGCGGGATCTAACATACAGAGTCTGGATACTAATGATATACTTTCGCAAGAAGTCTACCTGAGAGCACGGTCTATCTCTACAGTCACCTTTGACTTGCTTAGTGAGAAGCAACTCAATCACGTATAGCGGTCAAGAGTTCGATGGTCTTATGGAAGGGTTTACAAATTGGCTTGGCGCGGTTTAGCACAGGGCCTCCTTACCGCAAGGGCAGACGCGGCTACATTCCAGGTATACAGCGAGTGGCAGCCCCTTTGACACTGGGGCAGCCTTGGCTCCTTTTCAGCAACTTGCCATTGACTTGTTGTGTCATAATGATGCTTTGAATGGCTGCTTCATTTTGCAGGGCCTGCACCATTTTCTGCTCGTTGGGCTTGGATATGTCTTCGCTTGCCAGTGAGCATTATCTAATGTTACAGGCCGGACGTACTCCGATCTTGAACTTCATCTGGTTATCGCATCAAACCAAGCACTCTTGTCCCCCAAAGTCCCCGCTTCTGCTGATTCTTTGGCGGAAGGTTCAGATGATCCATCTTGAATTCTGCTAATGAGCAATTGTTGTGCCTGCAGGCAAACAGAATGGAGGTGGCACTAGCCAAGGGTGCGGCCTCGCAGCTCGTCTCTGCTGTTGAAAAGTTGCAGGCAGCCGTAGCAGCCACTAAACAGAACGATCACGAGTGTCGGATGATTGTGCACGAAGTGGTCACAAGGGCACCTTTCATTACGGACCTCTTGAACGAGGCAAGGCACTTTGAGGACGAAGCACTCGATAAGGCCATGGCTTTGAATCTGAATTTTGCTGTAGACGCAGTGAACGAAGCAACAATGGCGGTTTATAAATGGTTGATGAAACCCTTCTACCAGCGGCTTCGTGCGGGCCAGGGTTTTCAGCCAGCACTCAAAAATGCTAAAGAAAGCTTGTTCCGAAGGCTGGAGACTATCACAGCTCACCAGATTCACCGCTTAGACAAGCGGGCAGAGCAAATGGCCCAGCTGGCTGTGAGGAACGATGAGATCAGCCGAGTCTTTGAGGCGCTTCTTTCTGGCACGCAGCTCAATGTGTCAACGGCCCGCACAATGGCGATTGCGAAGGCGCAGTTGGAGCAAGCCAGCTACGGCGGGCAAAAGTTGCGGGGCCACACTGAGGGGGTGTACTCCATCGCCTGGAGCTCCGATGGGAGCAAACTGGCGACGGCCTCAAGGGACAACACGGGCGTGATCTGGGACGCCACGACAGGGGAGCGCCTGAGGGTGCTCGAGAGCCACATCAAGGAGCTCCGCTCCATCGCCTGGAGCGCCGACGGGAGCAAAGTGGCGACGTGCTCAGCTGACGACACGGGCGCGGTCTGGGATGCAGCATCGGGGAAGCGCCTGAAGGAGCTCAAGGGCCACAACCGATGGGTCCCCTCTGTTGCCTGGAGCCCCGAAGGGCGCACACTGGCATGGGCCTCACGTAACAGAATAGGCGTGGTTTGCCCTGAGGGGAAGCGCCTGGGGGTAATTGCGGGTCACACCAATTGGGTCAAGTCCCTTGCCTGGAGCCCCGACGGGAGCAAATTGGCCATGGGTTATGAGGACAAGACGGGCGCGATCTTGGACGTCGCAACGGGGGAGCGCCTGAGGGTGCTCGAGGGCCACACCCATACGGTCCAGTCCATTGCATGGAGCCCTGACGGGAGCAAAGTGGCGACGGCATCATTGGACAAGACGGGCGCGGTCTGGGATGCTGCAACAGGGGAGCGACTGAGGGTGCTCCAGGGCCATAACGATATGCTCTTCTCGATTGCTTGGAGTCCGGACGGGAGCAAAGTGGCGACAACCTCAGCGGACAAGACAGCAAGAATTTGGGCATGGCAAAAGCATTGGTAGACAGAGCCTGATTAGACGACTGCTGAGACACAAATGTAAGGGCAACGTGATAGCATTTTCTACAGTGCCTCCCAGTTCTGGATACTTAAACAACTGCATGACGATCATTAAGTTGACCCTACTGACGGTAGCTATTGATGATTCTCAGTCCCACATCAGGGTCTCTATTTTGTAACCATGTGTTCTGACGTCAAATAAGCTGATCGACTGAGGTATGTGCTCCATCTAACGCGTGTATGAACGATGGATCCATCAACGACCTAGCGCACCAATGAAACAGTCACACTCAGACCTGGCGGACCAGACCGTCATGATGCCAACCATACATACTAATTATATGCATTAATTGTCCTAACCATTGAATCCTAGTATACTCATAGTCGAAATTTTGGCCGGGCTGCCAGGGCCGCCGCCAATGGATATATGCATGTTGGCAGCCTACATATGTATGTGCCAATCATGCCAGCCGCTCTGTTGAGTTCATGAGTCCTCCATGCCGTGGGTGGCATCATAAGTTGATGGTCCGTCACTCGGTCGATATGGAACTCCCCAAGGTCAAAGCTCCCGGCGCGCATCATTGTACAAGATTTGATATAGGCCCTAGATTCCAGAAGCTGTATGTAGGGATGTCTCTAAGATTCCCATGTCATGTACGCGGGGACATTGCAGTCCCAGTGACTGGCGGCTGCAGATCGTCCGGTCCCAAGTCCCCTTGAGGTTTTGGCAATGTTCCAAGGCCAATCTTCATGCAACTTATTGTATCACAATAGGCCGGGCCCGGGGCCCAGCATTGCAGTTGTACTCAATTAAATTGACATTGATAATTGCCGAGATTATATTATTATAAGGTAAATGCTGGGACGGGTATAAAGTTAGTTTGGTGCCAGGTCAGGATGGGTTGGGTACGGAGCAGGTATCTTTTTGTGTTAGAAAGTTTTCTTTCTGTCTTGAGATACATGCATGGGCCCAACGGCCGCTCATAATCAACATTGAACGACCGACAGTAATCAAAGAGGGTTAAAGTGTGGACACCTATTCACTGCAGCCATCCTCAGTATCGCACTAGTGCGATCGAGTTGCTTCAACAAAAACATGCTCGCCGTCGGGCCTAGGCTCTCTACATAACGTGCATACGCATGAAGTGAGATACATCGCTCCACTTCAATGCTCGATGATGCATCAAGGGTAGGTCAGTGACCCTCAGGACCGTACCTTGACAGACACTGTCAACAACCGCTTCTTTATGCGCGTGCTGTGCTCGGCAGTGCCGCAAGATGTGCTCTTTTCAACTTAGGAGTGCCGCTTGCTCTAATCCTATTTTATCAAACCGCCTTCCATTGCAGACATATGTGCGGTGCTCCTATTTCTGCCGAGCTGTACTCACACATTCTTGCTTTCGTACGCAGTGCAACACTCAATGCAGATGATGCTTTTGCAGTGGGCTGACACTAAACGCGATTCTCGGCCCACGAACGTGTTTTAGCTATCCCCAAAAGTGTCAAGTCTGACAGAATTCCTCGGCCTCCCCCTCGTCGATGTCGTGGGCGGCGTTCGGTTCCAGATGGCACAGCCGCACAGTGCCAATCGGTACCTCAGGCAACTCGTCCTCCGTGCTCCCCTGCAGATAGAACGGTGTTTTCCCTTGATTTGAATGGATTCTCTAGGCTTCGGTGCACAACATTTAGGAATCCGGCAGTGAGCGCAGGGTCGGGAAGGATATACCACAGAATTGGATGAGATCTTGAGCTCATGCGCAGGTGTGTTTACAGGATCAAGGACGGAATTCAGAAGAGACTGGCGTCCGCTTACGACAACAGTTTCAGTCCTGTGACAATTGTGTAGGCATGCAGTCAGGACCAAGCAAGTAGGAACGAATCAAGACTCACATTCCTGCACAACCTGGTAGTGTTTACACTTCTCCAACCGCCCTTTCCTCAAGAACGGGTGAAAACAAAGAAATATGGTTCTCGACAAGACCGGACACGAGTTTTGGGCCTCTAACCATGGCTGATTATGGGCTGGTTTAAAATCTATTTACTTGTCCATGACCAGACTTGGGGGCGGTAACCAGCCTAAAACCAAGGTTAGGGCATGGTTAATAGTCCATTATCCTGGAAAACGGGTCTGGTAAAACCCTGGTTAGCAACAAAACTTTCCTCTTAGTATTAACTCACCTGCACTAGGAAGGCCATGTCGATGACCAGACTTCGCACGTACCCCAGCACGAACCGCACCACTCCGTTCGCGACCGTCGACGACCCAATATCGATATCAATCTCCAAATAGTTCTCCGCCTTGTGATAGTCCACTTTCAGCGCACTCGCCACGATCAGCGGCTTCGTGCCGACAGACCGTTTCACAACCCACGCGCCTTTCGCGATACTCGGAATGAGCTTGAAGCGCGAGTTTCGGAAGGAGTCGGTGCCGTAGACGAAGCGGCCCAGGAGGGAGTCCTTTTCGGGGGAGTCCACGCAGGCGTAGTAGAAGCACATGGAGTACTGCTGGGTGGCGGGGACCTGCGAAATAGGGGGTAAAATCTGAACCGGTAGGAGGAGGGGGGGGTGTTAGAACATACGGGGGAGTTCCTTTTGGGGGGGTCCTCGCAGGCGTAGTAGAAGCACATGGAGTACTGCTGGGTGGCGGGGACCTGTGAAACGGGGGCGAATCCAAGTTAGAGAGGGGGGGCATCCCGAGGAATCTCAAAGAGGGGGGGTGTTGTAGAAGCACACGCTGGGTGGCGGGCAGCTACGATATGGGGGTTGGTTCCTTATCGTCGTAGGAAAGGGGGGGCCTGTTCAAGAATGAAGTCGCTCCCGGGGAGGTGGTAAAAGCACATGTTACGGAGCAGAAAGCCGTAGGCGTTCAGCACGTCGTACGTGTCTGCTGCCAAATCGGACAACTTTTAGAAATTACGAGTCTGCAGTGAGCTTGTGCGAGGCCGTCCGCCTTGGAAGTCGAAGAAGAGGAACGAGACGACTTCGCGACTAGGGCCGTTACGGTTTCCCGTTGGGATGATTGGACCAACCAACATTCTTGCGTGTGCTCCCGAACCCTTAGTCCAGCGTCAAGGCCGATGAACAATCTGAGAAGGATTACTCATTGATTGGATTGAGCCGGCGGGTTACTGAAGGTTGACGATAGTTGGGATACTTTTCAGTGTCATTGGACAGACCAGAATTTGTGGTCACGTTTCAGATTGTTCTAATCAGTCTCAGACCGGATGCATCATCTAAGACTTATTACCTTGGCAAAGGGAAAACCCGAGTCTGCAGTTTTACCTGGAGGTTGACAATCAAGAAGAAGGGCATTGGATTCTCGGGATCCTTCCGCGCCTTCTGGATGGCGAACTGCACACACGAGTCGGGGCGCGCTGCCACGTGGTCGATGCGCTCCCGCGAGGTGAGCCAATCGGTGGCCACGAGATGCATGTGGCACGAGTTGGCGGGGATCTGTAATGCAAATAGAAGACTACATGGACTTGATCCAAACAAGTCCAAAGACAAGAACTACCGGTGGCCGGAACGAAGGTACTATTGGTTGGATTCAATGCAAGGAGACTTCCAATCAAGGCACGGAAAGAGCTACCGGCTGATTCGGAAGCGAAGACTGCACTTGATAGAGCTAAAGAGACCACCGCTGAACCCGAAAGCGACTACTGGTTAGAATCCAAGTGATGACAGGTTAGTCGAAGGAGCAGATAACCGGTCAAGGCCAAAGATAGAGTCTACCGTCTGACCCGAAAAAGGGCACTTTCGCTCAAAAGGGGAGGTCAAAGCACCGCTTTTCTCGTAAATAGAGACTAACGAGAAAAGTAAAAGAAGACAAAACCGGTCAACCCGAAGAAAGAAACCACCGGTGAACCCCAAAGAGAGGGACCACCAGTAGCTGGAAGACTACCGCTTCTTCCAAAGGAGAAGACCAGTTGGTTAACTGCAACAACGAGATCACCGGTTACGCCAGGGAAAGAAAGATGACCAACAGGGCGATACGATTGAACGCCCCACCTTGCGCTTGTCGCTGAGATACGTCTTGCTCCGCACCGGAAAGTGGTGCGGTTCCGGTTCCGCCCAGCTGTTCACTCCGTCCTCCATCGGCCCATACGACAGCGTACCGGAAAACTGCGACGGGTCCAGCGTGCTTGGGCGCGGAACCGAAGGGATCCCTGTGGAGGGAACATACGCGGACGGGGCCGGGGCATAAGCGGGCTCGGCGGGCTGATAAGCGGCCGAGTCGGGTCCATAACCGGAGGAGAGGAGCCGGGAACTGAACGATGGGGGCGAGCGTCGGAGATACGAATCGTCGAGGGACGGGCGGCGCTTGAGGGAGGTGAGACCTGAGGTCAACGAACCGAGCGAACGGCCATCAGAAAGCGCGTTGTATCTTGACTCTTTGTCAGACCCTCGACTCTGTTCTTTTTGTGTAGTGGAAGACGAACGGGGGATCACGAATGGAGCAAACCGGTATCAGAAAACGCAAAGTGGCTTAGCTGTTTGTCGAAGTTTGTTTGCGTTCGCTTTTCACATTCCATTGACGAGAGAGGTGAAGGCCTGGATTTCGAGCAAGCAAACGCCCTCCATCAGAAAGGGCCTTGTGTGTCGTTTCTGCCTGTCCGACCCTGTCTCTGAACTACGTTCCCTCATCTGACAGGAGCGAAAATGGGGCTACTTGACAATCAAGCAAATGCCAATCCAAAAGCGCCAAGGCCTTCCGACTTACGCGCGCAGAAAAGTCTCGCGACTAACGTGCAATATAAGAAGCTTCTTGCGGTGCGCAGGGAAAAGAGCCTTTGAACTTAAGAAGCACCAAACAGAAGCCCTTCTTCTTACGTTCAGAAGCTCTCAATCAGAGCGTAGTAAAATTGTCCTCTAGCGTTCTAACTTCAAAAGCTCCCTAAGCATCTCGGGATTCGGCAGATATGAGCCCCCAAACAAAGTGATAAATAACTCATGTGATAACAAGCAATTGAACTTACGCAGGGAACGCGGATCGAAGGGCGTCGATTCGTAGCTGGAGACAGACGGCGTCGACAGTGAGGACGTCGAAATGGAGAAGGAGGCGCTTCGAGGCACGGGCTTAGTGACAATGGGTATCTGCGCAAAAGCGGGGTCTGTGTATTTAAAAATTCCATAACTTTTAGGGTTTAGGGTATAAAGGATTCACGGATTGCGGTTTGAATTACAGCTTCGAAGGCACGGCGGTTGTCGAAAAGGAGAAGAAGGCGCTTCGGGGGGCGGACTTGGAGACAGTGGGGGTCTGCGTGGAAAGCGGAGGGCCTTTGTTTGCGTTTTCGAACGTCGGAGATTTTGGAACTTAGGACTTCGAAGTTGGACGTTCAGGCGTAGGGGACGTTGTTGCTTCAAACGGGCGTTTCAGAGAAAAACACGGCGACAATCTCAGGGCCTGCTTGAGTGAGACACGTTCATCGATTTCATGCTTCAGCATTCAGTGTAATCTTTTCGGACTGGGGTTCCTGACTTCAAGGTCAGGGGTTTTTGACACTTTGTGTTAAGGACGGACGGAGTGCCATCCGTTCCGTCGAAGCAGAGGCGCTTCGGGTTACTAACAAGGATGCTTTTAAAGCCAACCAGCCACCGATTGTCAACGACAAGTCTTGAAACAATCTTCTAGGCACTCGACTCTCCCCCAAGTGGGTTTGCTTCTGCGCTTATGTTCGGGCTTGGTCGCAACGTTTCTGGCGCCACGATGACGGCGGGCTCGCTCTTCGTCTATCAACTAGAACTCACCATACAGAAGAAAAAGAACACATATGAATGCACAACACAAAAGAAGACGAAAAACATACAACACTTGTCATTCAGAATGTTCACAGCGGTTCGTGAACTTTGCGGTCGGTCGTCGCGTTTCTGGCGCCTCGATGACGGCAGGCTCGCTTTTCGGCTAGCCACAAGTACTCAGTACGGAACACAAGAACAGAAACAGGAAACAGGACCCACAACGGAACATAACAGAAACAGGACTCACAACATACAACAACATAAGAGAACAACCAAGATTCTAAATTAGAACGTTGGCAGCAGTTCGCGAGGCTTACTTTTGCGCTCGGTCGCGGCGTTTCCGGCGCCACAATGACGGCGGGCTCGCTTTCCAGGCTGGCCGGAACCTGTAGCAGAGTGGTCACGGCTTCCCGCGACGTCTGCTGGAACAACTCGCGGATGCCTGCAGAAAATGGCGAAGAAGGTTTGCAACAAATTCGCTTCTTGGTGCTCTTCTTCTTATTAGTTCTTTGAACAGCTTAGTAAATACACAGCGTGCAAACCCGTTTCCAGAAAACAGAGAAAAGGGACCTAGTACGTCAACACGTCAACGCCGACTTTGGAAGCATGCTTGTTCGGTAATGCAGGATCGGAGATTGCGCGCAACATCAGCGGAGCGGCCTTTCTGACAATGAGTCACAGAAGCCTGCAGGAAAGGGACGACCAAATCTGAAGGTGGCTACGTATTTTGTGTAACGCTTTACATTACCGCGTTCCCCGCGCAACCTGCCAGATTTGGTGGCGAAGTTAGTGACGGTAACTGGATTCGTTTCCAATCAGAGTCAGCAACCTTAAGACGACCTTAGAACCGGTAGCATGCTCAATGTTCTCCTTCCAATAGCCTTAGGTCCAGGAAGTGCCGAAGGTATTGGCTAACAGGGTGCACGTCGAAATAGGGCCCCTCGCGAATCTGAGCCCTCATCCCTGACGGAACCCCTGACGTCACCAGATCTCTCCAAGGTCACGGCAACCTCTTTAAAGAGCCCTCCTATCTTAATAAAAACAGGGATAGTGGCGTCCAAAAGAGCAGCAAAATGGCAGTTGTGCCAGAATACGTCCTTGCCGCCGTCCTCGCCAGTCTCGTTGCCATCTCTGTTACGCGATTGGGAATCATGACCGTTTGCTAAAAGAGGAAAGAGAACCTCAGAGGCACGAGAAGGAGGGACAGACCCAGCAATGATCTCAAGAGACAGCCCGGCAATTTCATACCGTCAATTTTGCCCATTTCTGAGGAAGATTAGCAGCATTCGTAGGGCCATTGTAAGCGACTTTACAGGGCAACAGGTCTCTGGCAATCAGAATCGAAAGCAACCTATGCCATAAAAGCCTTTCGGCACACTCTCCCTCTTCCTCGCCAGACATCTTGACACCGCAACATGGGTCTGAAGCCAGACTCTTCAGCCTCAAAGCACAACACTCCATAGAACAATTATACCCGAAAAAGACAATCGGCAATGCCAAAATGAAATGCAGCTCGTGAATCATCTACCCTCGCCAAGTCTCCTGACCTTAAAGAACACTTCAATTGGCTTGGCAAAACAGTAACATTCTGCAAAAAAGAGGGGGCGCTTTCAAACACGGTGAGAGCCACAACTGCATGCCACCGACGCTGCCTGGGTAAGATCCACGTCATCTTCAGAACAATTCCGCTGACAATCACGAGCAATCCACACGCCTCGAAAACACACCTTCGCTAGCACACTTGGCTGTCAATGCAGGCCAGGGGCGACTAGAAAGCATGGACGGGGTTGACTGAAGGTGGACACTTGGGGTTCAAGATGCCCTCATCCCCGCCACGTGTAGAAAGCTCATGTGTTCCACGTCATGCTTATATACACCATAGAAGTCAAGCTTGGTGGCACTCTGGGCAAACTGCAATCCCAACAGCAAGCGGTGCAGTTTCAAAGAATCCAGCACTTCGGTGCCCTCATCCTGGCCAATTGTCCCACCAGGTCGAACAAAGTTCCAAAGAGAGTGCAGGACGCCTAAGCAAAATAAAGACTTTATATAGGACAACCTGAGGCCAGGAACCAGCGTTCCCAAATCATGTTTTTGCACTTGGGTTCCTTCACGTGGCCCCGAGTGTAGATAGAACAAAGCAAATTCGTATTTCCCGCAAGTAGCGATTGGATAGGGTCTCCTCATTGCTGTTACTTTGATGAAAATGTGGGGACTGATGATGGGCACTCTATTGCCTCGCATCTCGTTGCAAAACGCACAACACATTTCGCCTGTATCAAGGAACCCTCTTACGCCAAACATGGCACCTGTGGCAATCAGAGTACTTGGAGGGTTAGCGCCAAATCAAAACTGCAGCACTCCATGCCTTCATCCCCGCCACAGCTTATGTCAATGCTAGGGACTCCGCGACTGTACGTCCGTTTAACTTTGTCCTCCGAACACTTTAACGGTCAATAACAACTTTGAATGATTGCAAACAGCATTCCTGTCACAAGAAACGATGAAAGGACTGTGCTCAATGAAAGCACGCCTCGTTTGGAACTGGAGCGGCCACCACTTTCGACTAATGGCACAGTCCATCTTTGTGAGAGGCTTAGGCACATCGGAAACGAATGACAAGATTTTCGGGCAAGGAGGAGATATGGTCGCAACACCCCGACAGAGGCTGCGGCCGGTTGAACGGCTCGCAATAGCATGCTTGGGAAAAGACGATTGGCACCTTGGGTCGGTGTTCGCTGGCCGAAATCAGGTGATGGACCAGATGGCAGCTGTGCTTTTCAAGAACCTGCGGAGTTACGGCATATTGTACAGTACTTGAAAAACTTAGTCCCAGCGTTGCCAAAATACTCAATAATGGGGTCTTCGGATCTGCCTGTGATTGCTAAATTGAGTGTCCAGTGACGATCTTACGAAAACTCGATTAGCACCGCACTTGGAATGTTGGCATCATGGCAGCACAGACGGAAATGGCCTCCGCCACCTCCGCAAACGCCCATGCCTCCCTGCTTTCGAAACGCAAACCCCTCAAACTTTCTGAACGAAGGCACGAAGCAGAACACCAAGAACTCCGCGAAAACAACAACGCCAGAATTCGGAATATAAACCGCAGCAGACAGCATCATGGCATCAGGGCAGTTGATGTGGCGCAGTAGCTTCCGCCAGCTCCACAGACCCTCGTCCTCGCCTGGTTCGCATTGCCAGTCCGTAGACTCTCAACATAAGAAAACCAAAAAGGAGAAGCGAATGTGCGGAACATAGGACACAGCCCACGGGTTGGGGTTGGGCGGCTGCCCGCACGCAAAACCCAAGCACTGAGGTAAGAAGAAGAAATCCAACGAGCGGAATATGGGGGACAGCTTTGGAACCGGGATCGGGTGAGATGCTTGCAGGTAGAGCACTCAAGGGGCAGTAGGCGGGATTCTGACAGTAAGGAACGGCGCTCTTGATCCCTTTCGATTCGGTCTTGAAAGGCTCAGCAAGCACAACGGTCGATTGTACAGTTTGGCGGCCTCCTTGGAGGAGCTTTAGGGCCCCCGCTTTCCCAAGCCTTGAAAATCTACGTGTTGCACACTCCCGCTCAGCAAAGTAATAAATGGTCGCGTCCTTTGTTTTAACACGTTTACACAGATTGATGGATGGCATCTTTGGTAAAACACGCCTCTCATTTATTTCCGAAGAAAGTTGCTCGGGGACTTCATCAGGCCATTTGCCGGAAAGAGCAAGCGACCGAGTCTCGAAATTTCACGACCGTTGATGACTTCATTGAATGAGCTAGAATGTCAAGCAGGGGTTTCAGGCTCTGGCCCTCACAATGGCGGCAGAGTTCCGAACACAACGTTTCTCGTGGAAGCGAGACTCAAAAATCTGGCAGTCAGGTGCACACCAGCGTGCCCTGATCTTCCTTGAGCAGGCAACTAATGCTTCTCCTCCTTGCCCTTTGTCTTCATTTCCAAAAGTACACAGCTGACTCTGTAAACTACGTTTTCCAACTGCTGCAGCCGTGTCGCTTGATGTCGAGCGGCTGGAAGAAGATTCACCTCAGACTTCAAACGCTCAGACTCGAGAATTACGACAGAGTAAATGACAACCAATTTGCCGTGACGAAAATAGCATCGGCCACTGGCTAATAGAGGCAATCTGAGAAGTCCTGTGGGTAAACGTCGGGAAAGGGTACCCGCACATTCCTGCTCTCATCACCACCAAGCATCATTGACAACGGCAGAATCATTCCAGGGACGTCAAGTGCCAACGTTTTGTTCGAGAAAGTGTGAGCACGGCTCTCAGGTTGGGGGATAATTGGTGGCAACAATGAGCGCTGCCAAGCCCCCATGGGCCAAAGACGCATGGGCACCCGAAGCGCACGTCCACACAACCAATGTCAAACTAAGTACGTCAGCCTGTTGCATGCAAGTAAAACCCTGTTGCAACCAAGACGGCTCAGTCTACACAAGACGACGGCGGTCAAGTAACATTCGTGAGAATGAAAACGCTGGATGCTCATTTCCCCGGACCCGAATAGCCAAAAGGACCGTTCAATACCCTTCATCGTCAGTGGGGGAAAAGAAGCAAAGATCACATGCTAACGATTAGTGGCTGTCAACGGTTTAATGCCGCAGTTGTCAGATGGCACTCGGACTCATCCTTGCCACAGAATACTCCAACCGTACTACTTTAGGCTCGTTTGTTGAAGACAGTTGACTACTTTGGCGTACTTTGCCTTCAGAACAAGATGTCAACCGGCTGTGCCCGATCGATGTTCAGGCGCTCGTATGGCCTCGTCATTGGCTAACATCTTCAAAATCGAGGCTAAATCAAGACCATCGATTGCAACACTACGTGTGGAGTTAGAAGGAGACCACTGATCTGAATTTCACTTTCTCAGACAGTGGCAATCAAGAACATCGAAGACGACTTTGCCTGGGAGGGCAAGTAGCGCATAATGTTTCCATCCTAGCCGGGAGTATCACTCGCAGGTACGATACATCTGCTTATGCCCACCAATAAGAGCGACAATGGTCGGGGGCAAGCACTGAAGAACAAGACAACCAGGGGTGCAACAATCAACCCAAACGCCATCAGGATAATTTCCCTGCAACGATTACAGCCAAACACAGGTGGTATTGTGCAGATAGATTTCGACAGTTGCTTTCTGATCGCTTACTGGACAGGCGCAGACACGGCAAACATGCACCAGAAGTGACAAGAGAAGAACACCCAACGGACCGAACATAAGAACACAGTATTGAAAACAAGATTTGGATCCGAAGGTTGCATGGTGAGCAAGACACGACGCTCCAAACAGCAAGGAACGTGCTAGGTGCCTTTGGGACACTCATAGGTCCTCGGAGCAAGTCAGCCGCAGTACCGGAGCCTAAGATTTTGGTCGCCTAGATCCTGGGGAGAAAATTTAGGGCCCTGCCTCCACCGATTTTTATACACTCTCTATGAAAAGCGTACATTCCCGCTCAACTGGGAAAATATGGCGCTTTCCACACCCCCAAACAAAAAGCACTGCCTGATGGGAATCGTTCAGAGCATCCTGAAGAGACAAGGGCTATACGTTTTTGAAGGGGGTCCCTCCGATTCCATTCAGCTCCATTGCCTTGAGGAACAAGCGACTGAGCTCCAGATCTTTGCGACTATTGACACTTTCTTTTTCGCAAACTTAAGCAAGGTCTCGAGGTTCAGGCCCTTACAGCAGCGGATAAGCTCCGGAAAGAGAAGTTCTCGTGGGAAAGGGTAAACCACCGGCAGTCAGAAGAGGGCGATGGATCGTGCTCCAATCTCCTTCGAGCAGGCACACAGTCTGTCATTGCCGTCCGTCTAAGCTATACCGCTGACTCTACAGACTACGCTTATACAACGGCCGAAACCGTTCTCTCTTATCTTCGAGCGCTTCAGAGCCCGCCCTTCTTCTTCGACTTTGGGTCCTTGGATCTGTTTGGTCAAATGGATTGAGAAACAATCCTCCAAAACAATGAACATTGGCAACAGTCACTTTAGGGCAGTCTGAAGCTGGATGTTACGCAACCATGCGGAAAAAGGGCCCCGCACTTTCTCGTTCCAATCATCGCCAGAGGCTACTTAAAAGAGGCGAAAATCGTTGCTATCAACAAGGTCAGATGGACCGTTTGTGAAAATGTGGCTGTGCATGGCAATCGAACACGTGGCAAATCAGCAAGCAGCGGTAAATTGATGCCAAATTTGGCGACGGCCAACGATGCGCTGGCGTCGCATGTGCTCATCCTCACCACATGAACAAAGTGAAACCAAGACAGCCCATCACGCAGATCAAAAAAGACATTGGGATGCCGATCTCAAACCTCCCACCACGGAAAACGCACCAAAAACAGCAACAGAAAGTGACAAGTCACATGTTTTCCGGGGAAATATTCGTTTCAATTGCCGCTAAAAGCGAACGAAAATGGAATAATACGCTTTCTGACGCACCGATCGAGCACTAGCAGCCGATGAACGACGCAAACCACTCACAACGGGAGGCTCTCATGTCCAGACTTGCTCAAGTGGCACTCTGGTGGCAGGTCGAACGCGTTGAAAGGAGCAATCGAGTTGCAGATCTTCGTGATCGTAAGTATTTTCTCCTACAGCAAAGATCTAGCAGGGGCCTCAATACCGGCGACGCCAGACCTCCAATAGGGAGAGGTCTCGAGAGCAAGAGAACTATTGGCAGTCAGTAAGCGGTCACCAAGCTTGCCCCAACACCCCCTGAGCAGGCACGCCTTTCCTCCTTGCCGTCCTCCTTCATGCTCCAAAACGTTCAATTTATGACTCCGTACCAGATTCATCGAATTACACAGCAATGGCTGCTTGTTCTCAAGCGGCGTCGAAAGCCCACACCTCTTCTCTGTGTTTGAGCCCTCACATTCGTTCACCAGATCCGCCCGTTTATGCATTATACACTTCTCTGAAGCTTAAAAGCACCGGCAAAACAAAGACTTTGATCAGGGCAGTCTGAAGCAACTTTTGGAGGCATGCGAAATGAGATTTTCGCACATCTTCGCTCCCATCATCGCCAAAGTTTGTTGAAACAGGCGCCATACTTCTCATTGGACTAAAAGTCAAAGCATTTGTCGCAGAGAGGGCCCTTGGGCACTCAAAAGGGTGGCAATTAGTGAGCAGAAGGAGAACCGAGACCGAGATTGCGACTTCCGTTGTTTTCCTTGGCACCGCATGAGCTCGTCCTCACCACAGAAATATCAAGGAAGCTGCCTGAGCCCATGCACACTACCTGAAAACGCCCACGATGCAGCGCACATCATGTCTGCTGCAAGACAGTCTCAGAAGCAACTGTCACAAGAACATTGAAACGAAGCTCTGAGTCACGTTCCTTTTTTGGTCAATCTCCTGCTGGTCCTAGGTTGCGACCTGATTGTTGTACCAAGCTTCGTGGCACGAACAACCAGGACAAGCGCCGCTGAAACCGACATTATTGTTGTATCATAAGCAACATGCAGAACTGTTACGGTCGTCTCATTTCGTGTCTCCAACCATTCAGTACAGGCTTACACCAGACGAGATTTGATAGCAGCCCAAACCAACAAAGGATTAGACGCTTGGCTCAACGTCGCAAATCTTGTCCGTGGCAAATGGACAACCACTTGCGGCAGACTCTCTTTGCCACCTGGCCGGGCACAGTGCTGAGTAGTCAGACGAATGGCACATCGAGGAATTACAGAAGACGCAAACAGCCGCCTCTCAAAAGTGACAGCTAAGTAGAGCTGATGCCCCTTTATGATAGGTCAGTGTCAAGTACGAGTAATAGCGAAAAGAACCTTGATCCAGCAGTCCGAACATACAGTGTACGAGCATATCCAGCCAAAAATCTGATATCCTTGCCGGTTGCAATCACTCCAGCGGGCGTCAAAGTGAAACAGCGGATTGTCGGAGCAAGCGGCCCTGCTACATGTGGCGAGGAACCGCACTAGTCGACACGATAAGTCCGCCCTTTGGTCATTCAGTCTTTTCCCGTATGACACACAAAGGTGTTGCATGTAAGCGGCAGGCAGGAGTACAGCCGCAATGAAACAAGCAAGGAAGTCAAGACCTTCGTGTTGTCACCAGCAGAACAGTGCAGAAACATGCAGGAGCCGAAGCGAAACTCCGGACATCAACAAAGTGTACCGTTGCCTTTTCCCACCACTGCGTGACAAACTGACATCGTGTCCATTCTGAGCAACTCTACAATCTATTGGACCACAAGGAATTCGTGACAGGTGTCTATCCATCCAAATCGTAGCACGGCTCTCCGAGGAACCCACAGCGTGTACTCTGGTTTTTCTTGAGCAAACAAACAGCCTTGTCATTGCCACCTTATTACGTTGCCAAGGAGTTATTCGACCAAGTTCGTCACAAGGTCCTCCCGATTGCTGCCCCACGCCAGGCAGAGGCGAGCTTGTTTCTCCAGTCAAGGTGTCAGGATTACAGTTTTTCTACGGTCAAGATGGAAGGAATACTCGAGGGCTTCTTCCGAGCAACTTGAAAGATTGCACTGTCATCTCCATCAGCCATGATTCCCAGTGACAAAAGACTTCGACTGTACTGTCAAAGCAAGTAGGTGCTGCTTGCAATTGAAGCACGCAAACCGCAGAACAAACATGACCGTCAAAGCTAGACTGAGAAAGATGTGAGACCGAAATTCCGACACTTTCTCGCCCCTATCATGGCCTTCGGATCAAAGCCACCAAGTATCTCTCAAACCTAAGGAACACAAGTGCTGAAAAGACGTGCTTGCAATGCACACAGGACGGGGGTCAATAAAAGGCACGAAATCTGCACTGCCAGATTCGGAACTTTGGGCACTTTCTTGCCCTTATCATGTCCGAACATCAGCAAAACGGGGTCAAAGAATTCTTGAACTTCTTTTGAGCGCTTAGCGCAGAGTCGGTCTTGAAAGCGAGGCGCAAGAAGGTTTGTCTGTCCCATCAAAGAAAGTTTGCACTGCCAATCAAGTGGAGTATGGCAACCAAGGAAGGGGTCAAATAGAAAAGCAGCATGTCAAGTCTCCAGAAGCGACCACCGGGTTCATATGACGCATGCCTGGTTCCTCAAACCGTGATTACTCGACCGACAGGGACCTCAAATACCACGGCCGACTTCAATCGTACGCATTTCCTGACAGATCAAGAAGGTACGATAATGTGTAGAAGGGCTTTGTATCGTGTTAAGGTTGACTCAACGGCTACACGAGCCATACTGTCAGAGAATACTGGAACAGAGCTTCGCAGTCTTGGCAGCAGCAGACGTCCCTGGCAGTCTTGAAGGCACCAAATTCCCTGCCTAACGTAAGCAGGTATCTTTGTCATCCTTGCCATACGTCCCTGATTCCAAAAAGGCCCAAAAGCATCCAGTCGCCCGATTGGCCAGTGACACGGTCAAAGGAAGAAAGCTGTTCACATGGCCGAAAAGCCGGGTCATTCGAGTTAAGCGAAGCCATGATGACGTCAGCAGCTCAACAGCCATTTGCGTGAGGAGCAAAAGGTGGAAGGCGGACGGGATGCGAAACACATGGCGCAACTTTCTTTCCCCCCAAAGCTGTTTGCTTAAACTCTCAGGCCAAACCTTCGAAGCTGGTATTACGACGACGTCAGCTCACCTGCGACACGCATCAGCAGTGGGAGGTGGAAGGCGGCAGTTATGCCATTCACGTAGCGCAACCCCATGCGTTCGCCAAACAAGCTGGCCCAAGTATAGAACTCGAAGCGTCTCGTTAAGAGAGTTGCAAGGGATCACGTCACGATGACGTCAGCTCACCTGCAACTCGCATCAGCATCGGGAGGTGGAAGGCCGCGGGGATGCCGAACATGTGGGGCAGCCAACCGCAAGGGTCCAGCTCCAGGAGGTGGATCACCAGAGATTGGGGCGTCGCTGACTCCCGACTGGACTCCGTATTAAGCGGAGAGATGATAAAGCTTCCCGCTGCAAGAAGAGGAGGTAAGATTACTCTTTGCTTACCAGAAACTCGGAATTGAAGAAAGATGTCCTCGAAGAGAAAGGTTTGTGTCCAGAAGATGGATCACCAGAGACTGGGGCGTCGCTGACTCACGACTGGACTCCGTGTTGAGTGGAGAGATGATGAAGCTCCCCGCTGCAAATAAGAGCCAACCGGTTCATGATCGTTGAAGGTTATCCTGGTTTGAGAGAGATTCCTCCGTGAAAGGGTCCAACTCCAGGAGGTGAAACTTAGTGTTTGGGGGCGTCACCGATTCCCGACTGGACTCCGTGTTGAGTGGAGAGATAATGAAGCTCCCCGCTGCAAGAAGTATCGTTCGTTTCACATTTTGATCACGGAAGTCTTGGGTTTAGAATAGTTCTGAAGTGGAAAGTGGAAACGGCAGGTGAATCACCAGAGACTGGGGCGTCGCGCATTTCCAACTAAATTCCGTGTTGAGCAGAGAGATAATGAAGCTCCCCGCTGCAACGAGAAAGCCGGATCTCATTCGATTACAACAGATCCGGACTCGAAGAAAGATGGCCTGTGCAGGAAAGTTGAGGCTCCGGAATATCACCAGAGACTGGGCAGTCATCAAATCTCGGCTGGACTTTGTGTTTGAGCGGAGAGATGATAGAGCTTCCCGCTGCAGAAAGAGTGGTCACAAGTCGATCACGGAAGTCTTGGGTTTAGAATAACTCCGAAAGTGGAAAGCACCAGTAACGGCAGGTGAGTCACTCAGAGACTGGGCCGTCGCTGATTCCCGACTGGACTTTCTTTTGAGTGAAGAGATACTGAAGCTTCCCGCTGCAAGAAGGAGTCGGTCAACCTAGCATCCACTTGAATAGTCTACCATTCCCGATTCCGGCATGCCTCTTTGTTGAGCGGAGAAATAATACAGCTCCCCCGATGCAATAGGAGCCAGTCGAATCAGCACGAAGTCACGGCGGTCTTCAACTGAAGCGTGTGTCGATATCAGGAGGGTCCACTTCAAACATGTGGTGACCAGCAGTGGGGGAACTAAAGTTCCGACTGGACTCTGTGTTGAGTTGAAAGATGAGGAAGTTCTTCGCTGCGAAAGCAGAAAAGTCAGATTGGGCAATCAGTCGCGATTGAGTCGGAATACTTTTTGATGTCGAAGAGGTCCACATCGGCGAGTAATTAGCAAGTGGTACGTGTCCGAAAGGATGCGGCCTGAATCTTCTTGAGAGGAGAGATGACTCGCTCTCGCGAGGAAACAGACATAAGGTAAGAAATCTGAACGGGAAAGGCCTACAATTTGTTTCAAACAAACAGCAAGCGGCCAGACGAATATTAGTTGGCCAGACTCACATACGAGGTTGGCTCGCACGTAGCCCGACTCCAGTGGGCAGTCCTTATGGATCGTGGACCGGAAGAGGATGACTGCAAGAAACAAGACTCGCTGTCAGTCGTGGAACATTTGGCTCTTATAAAAGCTTGAAATTTGCCGCTCCCCTGTTCCAGATCGTTTTCTCAATCACGGAGTCCGCATTGGCTTCACCTCTCAGATAACATTCCAAGTCCAGCATTGCCACGTGGCTTTATATAGGCAGCTCTTCCATCTGAATCTTAAGGCTTGGCTTTTAACAACTGTATGAGTCCTAAGCACGGTTACGTCTTGATAGCATTGAGAAATTGGAAGGCCTTTGTGAGACATTCGGGCATGGCAGCTTTTGCAGCCAGATGGAGCTTACCCCAAAATCGAAGCACCTTTTGTCAGGACGATGTTGGAGTTTGGAACGACTCTTAGACCAATCTCCGACATACATGGCCCATATCGACGTGTCATCAAGCAGTAACTAGACAACCTGGGTGCCAACAGATTATAAAGCCAAAGCAAACGTCTACCCAACGAACTAGCCAACTTGCATGAGGAAAAAGAAACAATGATGAGTCAGTACGATTGCACGCTCACCATACGCCCCCGACTCCTCGCGCATCCAGTACCGCGCCATGCACAGATCACGTGGCCATACCAGCCTGTGAACACGTTAGACGAGTGACGTCACAATGACGCAGCTTCATGATCTCAGGCAGCCGGTCACGATGTCAAAATAAGAGGGAGTAGCGGGAGGAGCGATGAAAGGGCGGAAGCGAGCAGCAGAAGTCGAAGGCCGTAACCGAACAAATCAAGGTCTCAATTCTCTACAACGCGGAGTCCTTAAACAGCAGTTTCCAGACCCTGGACCCCGAGTGGACCCAATTGTCAATGCCAAGCTTTTTCGTCAAACAGTTTCGCTGCAACAGCGGTATGTTACAGGCTGCGACTATGCACAGGCGTAGCTTTAAGTGCACGTTGAGCACAACGTCGTCCAAGCGATACGTACTAGTCTCAATCTGACAAAAAACGGTGCCTGCTGACCTGGGCCAGAGGGGTTTGAATCCTCAATCTCTTCGACCACTGATGACAAAACTTTCAGATAAGGACTCAAGAAGATCTCGCGCGGGGCACTCGCCAGGGCGGGAAGTCGCAGGGGCGTGACTTGAAGCGATTTGACAAACAGAACCCTCTCAAGCCGGAAGGTACCAATCACAAGTCAGCAGGGGAGAGTGCGTACTAACTTTGGCCCCGACTGTTTGTTCTGGCGGATCCTTCATGAATCAATCTTTCAGATTAACCTCGAGAACCCTTTGTAGTAGGGATTGCTCACCACGGCGGGAAGACGGACGGGCGCAGCTTGTGGTGCACGATGTCTGTGTGGCCGTCCTCGCGCTCTACGACGCGGACGTCCGCACAGGTGTGGTCCCACCTGCAGGCAGAATAGACGTTTGCAGGCGTTCAGATTCAGAATTTTGAGGCTATGCCTTGTTTGTACCTTGTCGAAGTCAGAGATGATCCAAGGCGAATGGCCGGTTCCTGTGGTTGAATTGTCAGGTTGTCCCCTTTTGACAGGGCTGTAGGTGGTCTAATCAGCACTTTAGAGCAAAGTACACAAGTTTTTCGTTGGGAACCCGCGCTTTGGGTATCGGCACTTCGAACAGGGACTCTGGAACGAAACTGCAATCCGCACATGTCCAGCGCTCCTGTCAACCTCTCGTTCCAAGCATTAAGGCCTAAGGGTGCGCGTCGACCAAAAACTTACTTGGCCTCCAGTGTCGCCATTGCAGTACGGACAAGGAGGAACGTTATTTTTCAGGCCATAGCACTCCTTTGCTATGTACCTCCGACTACCACGTGGATCTGACAAGCCATCCGCTTCACCAAAAACCCGGAAGGTTTTTTGCAGCTTTTCGGTCGACGTGAAGCCTAGAACGAAGGGGAAGTTGGAAATACGACCAAAGTCGGCGGTCGGTTGAGTCCTTACTCGTGTCGCGAGCTACCGACGTCCATCAGCAGCTTGAAGATCTCGTTGCACGGGGCGTCTACTACGCCCATGGATTTCATCGTCGTGAGGCCAGCGTGCGCGTTGCTGACCTGCATATCAAGGTTCGATCCAATTCGCAGTTGGAGAAAATATGGTTGGATGATTGTCTGGGGCAGGAGCAGACGAACGTCTGACCAGAAAAAATAAACACTTGCTGACCTGCATATGATTTACTCCAATTCGCAGTCTGGAGAAGGCATGGGTGATGATTGTCTGGGGCAGGAGCAGACAAACGTCTGACCAGAGAAAGAGAAACACTAGATTTACACCAAATGCGCAAGAAGTAGATTTTTGTGGCGCCTCCTCGTGCCTCCAATTCACAACAGGCCTAATAGGAGACAAAAGTAGGAAGAACAAAGCCGTCTCCTTGAAATCCTAAGAACCCACATGCATCATCTTAAGCGACTGTGCACCATTTTTAGAAAGGTGGGCTGTCCTTACCTTTTCCTCCCGTATTTCTTCGTAGAAACGAAGACCTGCAACCGAAGGAAAGAACGGTTTAAAATCAAGCATATCTCCGGCGCAAAGTAAAGTAACAGTCTTTCCAAGGGATGATAGAAGTACCACCAGTTGAATTCGCGTGCGAAGCTCGCTACTTTGACACAAATATTGCACTTACCTGGATCAAAAGACCAGGCGGGGCAGATCCTTCACCTTCCGAACAGATACTGAAATACTGCTTCGAAGCTTCAATTTCTACAGCCCCTTTACATACTACCGCCCCTTGTTGTGGGTGACTCAGAAGCAAGTACTCAGTAAATGTTACTTCGGCGCCTGCCTCGAGCCCTGAAATCAAAACCAAAATGCACCTAACTCCCAAAACCCCAGAGTAAATGGTGAGCCGCATTTTTCGATCATCATCAGGCGCTGGCTCGGCTCCGGATAACTTCCCGCCACGTCATTCAATCAGTTCCCTGTCAAAGAGCCCCAAAAAAATCAACGGACAACGACGAGGCCAAGTGTCAAAGCTCTGCTGAGATGAAGAAAGGGGGATTAGTTTCTCAAACCCACCGTTTTCGAGCTCGACCAACCCCCATCGCTGGCTCGGTTCTGAGAGCAGCCCAGCCACGGGGCCAGCCGCAAACCCTAAACTCTTACTACCTTTCATCCAAAGTTTCAGAAGCCTTTCCAGAATACAAGCCAACTTTCCTCGCAAGACGCCACAGACGGCTCAGCTCTGAATGGGGCCATGCCACGTCTTATACATGACTGGATTCTGTAACCTAACAGCACAGTCTTGAAACCACCACGAAGGGTATATGAAAATCAAAAATTCCAGAAAGCGCAGACCTGACTAGCCGCCACCGCTGACTCGGCTCTTGAGTGCAGCCCCGCCACAACATACCCCGAAGTACCTTCTTGAAGAACCTCGAAACCTGGGGAAGTACTTCACGAGGCCTAGTATTAAGAATCTACTGCGGTAGATTTCCCCTCCTGGGGGGAGAAAGACAAAGGAAGAAATTCAACCCACCGTTTTCGAGCCTGACTAGCCGCCACCGCTGGCTTGGCTCCGAGTGCAGCCCCGCCACGTCATACACGGAGGGGCCCGCCGCAAACGCCTGCTTGCGCCGCAGCTCCATGACGTCAGGAGGGTCGTCGAAGTCCGGCGGAAGTCCGGGAACCTTTGACACTTGGTGCTCCAGGCGCGTGAACGGCTTCCCGCCGGAGTCGAGGAAGCTGGGTTCGGGGGAGTGCGTCGGGATGTCGTCCATCGACGCGCTGAAAGGATTGCAGAGTGGACTGTATAGATCGGAGTTTACTTAACTCGTCCATTGAATGACACAAGAAGCACGAAACTGGTTCCCTTGAAGAGTTGGCGGTCCAGGCTCGTGAACGGCTGTCCGCCAGCTTCGTGGAAGTGGGCTCAAGGGAGTGGATCGGGAGGTCGTTCATTGACGCCCTGAATGGAAACTGTAGTGGCTTGTTTTCAGTTCGACATCCTTTTAATACGTCCATCGAATCACAGAGAAAGTGCGGAATATCCGCTGATGTACCGGTTTCTCTGAAGACTTGCTGCTCCCGGCGGGGTCAACTGCTTTCCGCCGATGGAGGAAGCTGGGTTCGGGGGAGTGGGTCGGAATGTCGTCCATCGATGCCCTGAATAAAGAGGGTGTTGAATTGTTCCAGCTCGATCCTTAATAACCAAGCTATCGCAGGTAATCAGTCGGGAAGTCTGGTTCTCTTGAGGATTTGGTGCTCCAGGCGAATGGACGGCTTCCCATCGACGCCCTGGGAGAGAGAGTCTTTCGAAGCTTCAGCTCAAAGCTTATGTGCGATATGTTATGTGTAGGACAAGACATCTTCCAACGTCTTCTTGAAGTCTTGGTCACCAGGCGCGTGAAACGCTCACCACAGGAAAAGGCTACCGCCTTGTTGAGAAAGATCGGCTCGAAGGAGTTGGTCGGGAGCTCCTTATTCCAAAAGCTGCCTTCTGTGATTCCAGAGTTTGTGCTTTCTTACTGAGAGTCATCAGTGTACTCAGGTGAAGGAAGGCATGAACAGGGCTTTCGGAACGAAGTTGGCTCTCTCTCGGCCTAAAAGCGTTCTGTTGTGATCCCAATCGTCAGGCCAGAATGGGTAAATAAGAACCACAGCAAACAAGGTGGTAAAACAAAACAGCATACGTAGATACAAGAATTACCCAGTTCGTTGTAAGCAAAACCTTTAAACCGAACAGCAGCAAACAACTCTCTGAACGAAAGTCTGCTTGGCAGCTTACGTGCGTCTGTGTTGCTGCGCGGCTCCGGTGTCGGACCCAGACTTCCGCTTGCCGGGCAAATCCTCGGGGAAAAACGTGCTGCCAAATACTCAAACCCCAAGAAAGAATGAAACAACTTGAAAGGAGAATGTCACAGGATCTGATCAGACTTTCTACTCACGTGCGCCGGTGTTGCTGCGCGGCTTCGGTGTCGGACCCAAACTTCCGCTTGCCAGGCAAGTCCACGTCATCCTCGTTGTGCTATTGGGTTACCCGATTCGTCGTAAGCAGAAACTTTCTCCAAAGAGCAGCAAAAAAGTGACGGACAGGAAAGTTGCTTGGCAACTTACGTGCGCCGATGTCTCTGGGCCGCTTCGGTGTCGGACCCATACTTCCGCTTGCCGGGCAAGTCGTCCCCGTCGTCCTCATCCGACAGCGTGTTCGACAGCGTGCTGCTGCTCAGGCCCAGGCTGCGGCCGTATGGCAAGTGTATCCGCATCGAGTTGCCGGGGGGCTGTAGGAGTGGTGAGAGTAGGCACATGGTCAGTCCGAAGAATTTCCAGCTCAGTTGATTCGATGCTCTGTCCCAGGCTGCGGCAGGTGTATCCGCATCGGGTGAGAATAGGCACACGATCAGTTTCGGTATCTTGGGCTTCGTCGGCTATTGACCATGTTGAGACCGAACGGCAAGTGTATCGCATCGAGTTGCCAGGTGGCTGTAAATGAGTGGTGAGAAGAGGCACCCGGTTATCCTGCGGTCCGGATACTCTCAGCATCTTTGGTATGCTTGATCTGCGCGTTGACTAGTAAGGGAATGCACTTGCGTACAGAGAGGTGGGAAAAGCACATGATTGATTACAATGTTCTCAGTTTCATTACATTATTGCCCTGTCCCAGGCTGTGACCGATGAGCAGGTAAGTCGCATCGAATTGCAGGGGGCTGTCAGAGAATGGTGGGAACACGCACATGGTCAGTCCGAAATCGAATCATCGTAAGGAACTATCTTTTCTTATACAGACGAGATCAACCACGACACAAGAACAGCGAGCATGACAGGAACAGGGAATGAGCAAACGGGGCAAACGGCACACCTCTATGATCCGGTCCTTCAGTGCCTGGTACCACTGCTCAACGTCCTCCGGGTCCCTCCCGCCCAACTGCGGGTTAGAAAACGGGGTGTCAGATCCGAAGGCACAGTAGCGCCTCACGTCTACGGTTAGCAATTGAACAATATGCTTCACGCTTTTAGAGAGGGGTGAACAAGTTTTACGATTATCCAACACTTCACGAGACTGGTGGACGGGCATGGCATCGGTTATAGACTCGTTTTATGCAGGAGCTCGAATCTCTTGGACAGCAGATTTTGAAGAAGCAGGTGGAGCCCCTGTGCACCTACCAGGAGAAGAGCGTTCAGGGCTGTCGATTTCAAATACAGATTTTGAGAGAAAGAGAAGTGCCTGATGCGTGCTCAAATCCAAAAAAAGTGGTTCCGCAATACTCTCACAGCTTCGGCTAGTCAACTAGATGCCGCGACCCCGTACCTCCTATGAGAGGCTACTCGAGCGTTATCTCCATCAAAATTGAACGGTTTGAGACGGACAATAGCAGAGCACCTGCTGATACAGAAGCTCGTGAGACGTTCAATTCCAGAAGAATCGAAACGCGGGCTTACCTGTAAGGGTCTGATCTCCTTCCCATTGGGCCGCAGCCCAAAGTAGAGCTTAAGGCAGAAGATATCCTGCGGAACCAGAAGGTCAACGTCAGGTTCCAAAAGCATCAGGAAAACAGGGCGGAGTCCAGTCCTTGAGCGACCGGATAGCCGAAGCTCCGGTCTGGTTGTCGTTCGAGGAGGCACCTGCTGACAGAACCCGCAGTCATGCGATCAAAGGTTTGACTTCGGACTTCGGGTGCCGCCAGAGAGCCGCGTTGAGAGACGCCTCCTTGAGAGTCGAATGAATAGTCCGCCGACATTCCAGGACGGTGAGCCAGAGGAGGTCTTGACCCAAAAACGGCCTAAGCTTTCGCTGAACGGATGAGAGTAGCACGACGGGTGCCGATTCCCTCAAGCTACTATGAAGCACGAAAGAGGACGAGAAACGAAATGATCGTCTGCACGCTGACCCGAACCAGATGACAAAATTCCATCTTCTACATGACCAGGCTCAACGGCCTTATGACTGGCGTTGTCAGTGTTGGTGGCCCGAAGGATGAGGGTAGCTTTTCGTTCTCTTGACCTGACTGAAAGCTGTTCTGTGATCAGTAAGGAACAGGCGTAAGATCGGAAGGCCTTTGACGAAACGATACGCGTGACGTTTGACAGAAAGAGCGAGAGAAGGACGAAAAGCCAGATTCAACCACACCGACGATGAAGTTCATTGCAGTGACGGGGTGAGAAAGAGAGAAGGATGCGCACCTTCCCAGAGGAGTTGTCGATTCCCAGATTGTCGACTCTGCAGTCGTGACCCAGGTACCATACTTTCGCCGGAGTCTGCATGGAATCGTTGGAAAGTTCAGAGTGCAAAGAGTGCCAAAACCTTTTGCCAAAGCAACTGTCTCCTTCGCTCCGAGCGAAAACGCGATGCTTCTTTTCATCTTGAGAAGGACTGCTGGAGTGGAAAGGACAGTGAAGCAGTCCATCGCAGAGACGGGTCCTCGCGTAAGTGCTAATGGCCATGATCTTGCCATGATCTTGACAAACTTCGACTATACAGGATTGCTACGGAAACTGAAGGATCATATTGCATTTTACGCACCCGTAGGTACGCCATCAAAATGTATTAAAGCAAAGACTGATTTCGCAAATGGAATTAGAATGGACGAATGGATCTCACTGTCGAAGCAAAGGTTTGTATGACATCGAAGAAAGATCGTTTGACCTGAGATCAAACCGAATCAAATTAGAACAGTCACTTTCCTCTTAAGCGCGCCACCAGCCAGAGCATAGTGCTCAGAACCAGCAAACCAGAAGTCGCAAGTTCGAGAACACGCGCAAGAAAAGCAAAGTCTTCGCACCTGGTTGGCTGCAGCAATTCTTGGGAGTAGCACTGCTTCCTGTTTGCCCGACCGGCGGCCGATACACAACAGCCGAAGCCAAGCAACCCAAATTGTCTTTACGGGACAATGTAAGGAACCAGAAGCCAAGTCTTCCAACTTGAGGCAAGCCCTGGATAAAGCTGGGCTGTGTCTCGCGCCCCAACAACAGAACCTAACAGTTGAAAACAAGTAGATGAAGACAACTTCAACTACTTTTCAAAGGCCGTAAAGATGGAAATGTTGAAGCAAAAGCGGAGTCTTCGCACCTGGTTGGACTGGGGAAGGCCCCGGAAGTAGCACAGCTGGTGTCCGTTGAGCATGAAGTAGCGCTTGTGCCACTGGAACGAGGACCAGCTGTGGCGCCCCAGTTTGTACAACCAGCCCTGCCGGCTTTCTGACATCAGCGACGGAGACACCATCTGGAAATTTTGGTAACTCCTTTTTAAACCCTTAGTATGCCCTCGCTAAACCCTCAACGACCCTCCGCACGCGCCCAGAGCTACCTTCTCCACAACCCTTTGGTTTCCTTCACAAGCCTTGAAGCTTTCTAGACGAGTAGCGCGGGCGCCGCCGTCATGATCGGCAAAATCCTCACCGCCTGACTTCTCTGTCACCCTTTTGAAAATCGAAAATTTGACCTCTCAATTGGATGTTCACAGGTTTCTGAGGAGCAGGGCAGAGGGCGCCACCAAAGAGTATACAAGGTACTCCCATTTAGGAGTACCTGCTTAAGGCCAGGGCGCTTTCACAGCTGTTGGAAGTTCTGGAAAGCCTACAGTGATTGTCGAGCGGCTCTAAGAGAGTCGAACAGCGTGGGTAAGAGGAGCTCCCCTGAAGGTAGTCTGAGAAAAAGGGCTGCTGTGGGAGTGTTTCGGGCCTGTCTGCAAAGCTTTTGCAAGGTTTGGAACCCTGTAACTGCACTCTTTTACACTAGCTGTCCCTAGGTGGGGGCCGCTTTAAGTCTACGGTTCTGACCACAGTGCTTTAATGTAGGTCGATTGCTGCTCCAGTCTTTTATAGAGCACCAAACTGTTTTGACTCTCCCAATTGCGCACAGTAACCACTGTCACGGCACCACCTGGCAGCAGTCGCTTGATCCTATATAATGGCATCGACTTGTAAGCGAGGCCTGCAGAAGGAATGAAAAGCTTTGTGCAACAGAACAGGTATGTTGGACGTTGGAGAGAGGACTGACATTAAAACACAGTCAGTGATCTATGGATATTCTGTGGCACGTAGATGGAGTTTGTTTTGTTGAACCTGCACAAGAATGGTCGGTGTGATCCTCCAAATGAACGAAATGCGCATGCTTTGAATAAACTAAAGTACCTAAGCACAAATGACGGATCAAACAAACGTGCATTGACATGGGGTCAAAAGAAACTGAAAGGCGTTTGTTGTAAAAAGATCTCTCTGTGGGTAGCTCTATGTGCAGGACAATGAACCGTGTCAGCATTGTTTCCTCCGTCCGGTTCGATTGTGGTGTGTATATGCCGTGCATTTAAACCTACATTGGTGCAAAGCCTGAGTGCTGAACCTTTCAGGTTGCAGAGAAGACTTTACCTGAGTTGCCTGGACCCCTCTAAGCTGATTGGTTACATTTGTTTATTCCTAGCTGGGGGACATGTTAGCCACGTGCAGAAGAAGAGGGTAAAAGGGGGCAGTCAGTGGAGCAGACTTTGGAAAAAAAAGTGGTCCATTATTCCGCCGAGTCTTGAGGCCATGTTTTACAATAGCTGGACTGGCAGAAGCGTTTGACTGACCAAAAATTAGACAGTAATTGCAGGTACGGAAGTAAGAGACCGTGTCTGCAAGCGCAATCTGGCCCAGGCCAAATCTGATGAACAAATGTAGCTCCTTTGTTTCAAATTCCACTTGTGCTTCAACAATCCAAGCACGCAAGCAGACAGCAGAGAAAATATCACACTTATCATTGGAGAACGATCTGGTAAAACCTTAAAAGTTATACCGAACATGCATGAACAGGCATACACAAGATATAGTAGTGCTTCCTAGCATTGCGGCTTCTTTACTTTGTCTCAAACAAACTTCCTTCAATATAGATTCCAAAATTCCAAATGGAGTATTGAGTAAATGCGTTCGCACACTTGCTGATGCAAAACAGCTTACCTCTTTTCTGGATTTTTGCACATCCACAAACTCATGACCAGGTCCTCCCCCAGCTTTTCCGAGTGTCGCCAGGATCAAAAAGTATTAAAGGCAACAGAATGCTGCAAGCTTTTATGCAGAGCTTTGAATGTGGTGCTCGGACACAACCCGCACCATCCTGATGTGGATTGAAGGCCTAAAGAACCGCACCCTATCGGGCTAATGTAAGCTAGCGCTTGAACTTGAAGATTACAGACGTCCCTGATGCCATTGCGCTGTTTGGAGCAGCTAAAGAAGCTCAGCGGGGCACCATTGCAATGACATCAGCATGATGTGGTACATGCGCGCCAATTCCACAAACTCCAGCTCAGACTTTGCTGACGGGGGGGATGATTTCGGGCAAAACTGTCCCATTGCTTTTGTGCGTTTGCTATGTTGAAACTTGAGCGCCATGCTGACGGTTATCAGAAAGAGTGCTCAGTCTAGATCCTTGATGTCATACGTGGCAAGCATCGAGCTGGCAGGCCGCAGTGGAAGCCAACAACTCTGGAAGTCATATGCAAGTGGATTCGTCGTAAGTTCCGAGGTCAGAAAGCGACGTGGCATTTGTTGCACGTACTTCTTGACGTGGCGATGATGTTTCCAGATGCACTCTTCATAATGGGATCCCCCTGCATGGCCAAGCCCAGGGCCAGGGCCACAGACTTTGAAACTGTTCAGTCTACAGCTTCAGCTGGGGCGCAGAGGACGACGTCACCACATCTGTGTGTCAGTCCATGGAAGGCAGCTGAAGACGACAAGTTATAAGTGGCAGAAACTGCTAAGTGGCAGAAACTGCGCAGTTCTCCCTGTAAGCGTTGAATGTTTCTACGCAACTGTGCTAGCAGAGGGTGGAAGCGCTGCAGGCTGGCGCGAAGCCCCTTTATCAACATCAAACGTACGGAGGCACTCGCTTGCATTTGTTTCCGGAGTTGCTCAGAAAGAACTGCAAGCCTCACAGATCGTTACAGCCGGACAGACCAGCAATAACAACAGCGCTATAGCAAGAGCAAAGTCAGAAGCTGGAAACGCGAAGACCCTGGGCAGATACAGACAAGAGAACAGTCCGAATAACCCCAAATTTGAGATCTGCCGCCAGTCCTGTTGCGTCTTTATAGACCGTCAACTGCTGTAAGCATGACATCGGCAACTGCTGCAAGTATGAAAGCGCCTGTGCCAAACACCCTGAACGCCCTCTTCCCTCCCCTCTCGCGACCCCCACCGGACAAACCCCTTCCTATTGACCCAAGCGAGCGGCCGGCAATCTGTCAAGAGGAGTATGTGCACAACTTTGCGTTTGGGTCCAATATGGGGCCTGAGAAGGTCAAAGCGCGGGCAGGTATGGAACTGCTATGAAGGAAAGTTAGCTTGTTATTCTGAGATCGATAAGGACTCTCGCTTCCTGGTTCGAGTTTCCTGACAATCTTGGAAGTTGTTTCGCTGACTAAATCTAACCACCAGCATTCCCCAAAACTTATAGCGTTGTTGTAGTTCTGCACGGTCTACACTCAAGGATATAGCAGCTTTGTCATCTCTCTCGGCAGGGTTTCCTTGGTCGGAGTTTGTTTGGCGCCACTAGTTGACTATCCATTGGCCAATGCTGAGAATCCCCTGACAGCGCCACATCTAGTTTCCTCCTCCGCCCTCTAGGCCACTGCGATTTGCGACCCTAACAGGCTCTGAACAGCTCATCAAGTTTAGCGTTTGGTACTCTGTGCTCTTAAAAGCTGGCTCCAGACATGAGTCTCTCATTTCTTTGTTGACGCCCCTCTACTCTGACTACTTGATCAGGCTTTAGGCAGAAGCCTTTAAACAAGGACACAACATCCTTGAAAAGTTCCTGCGGGTAAGCTTCAGTAAGAATTGTCATCGGGAAAATTGCCACTAAGTCGAGTTTCTTTTTGTTGATAAGGCCCCTTCTGCCAGTCCATGGATGCGGCTTTGGGTTCAAAATTCCGGAAGGCTAAGGGCATAAATGGTGAAGAAGGAGTTTGCATCACGAACAGAGGTGTGCTCTCCTTTTTTACAGGGGGCATCGAGTTTGTCTCTGCAGAGCCCGGGTTGGTCCGCGATTACCGGTTGGCATTCAACCTGGGTGGTGTCCCTCCTATTGAGCCGGTCATGGCTGGCATTGAACCGGAACAGGGATCGGTGATACATGGTACCCTCATCAAGCTCCCCAGGTCAGTTCTATTTGTGTGAAGCAGTCCCTTTCATTGAGACTCTGTTTTTGTACTGAGTTAGATTGCTCTTCTGCTTGCACTCACTTGGGTATTGAAGATGGATGAAAGCGCCTTGTATGCAAGCATATCGCTCGCTGGTTTTTGGGTTGACCCTAAACAGATCCAGTGCCGTTTGATGAGGAGGGGATCAGTGACATATTCTGAAATGTTGGTCGTCAGTTCGTTGGGGCAAAGGAGAAGCTGGCAAGCTTTTACCTTAGTCGGGGGGCAAGCTATCCATGACAGCGGACAGGCTTTCAATCATTGGGGAACAGGCTCTCGGTTGGAGCTTCCTGTGAGATGAGGGCATAAGCAGAAGGCTTCACTTTTCGTGTGATCTATTGTCTGAAGAAACCTGTTTTCAGGAGGCGGCTTTTGGAAGGAATTGTTCAACCCAACACAGTTGCCACATATGTTGCTTTACTGTTCTGCTCTTCTCCAGTCTGGAGAGTCCCCGTGTCTTCCTTTTAATGTTTTCCAATCTCTGATCTTACCAGTTAACCGACGCTTGTCCACTCTTCTTTTTCTAATCGCATTTTCAAGTAACCTAAAAAGAACGGGCCAAATGTTCCATCTTCGACCCCAGCCTAATGTACCGTCTACTAAATTAGGCTCCTCAATAAGATCCGGCCATTTTCTTATGCAGAGCACAGTACGAAAAGCTGTACAAAAGCGAGGGGGGCGGAGCGGGCAAGAAGCGCGCATACCTCGAGGAAGAGGTGACGGTGGAGACTTACAGCGGCAAGCAAGTGCAGGTGAAGTTATACTCTGGTTTGTTTTCTGGATTACTATTTGATGTATTGTCCGGGGTATCCTTGTTCAGGCGAATATGGAGCTTCTGGTTGCTTGACTTCGCAGCACTAACATTCCGTCCTTTGAGCATCAAAAACCTCGAACTGCGGTTTTTACTCTGGCATTTGCAGACGGTGGCAGGACAGGTTTTCGTGCCTGGTCACTGATAACCCACAGGCAAAGAAGTTTTCAAAGCCTTCATCTATGTCAAAAAAGAATTGAATTCGGAGGAAGCGCTGCGAGTCTTGATTGTCCCCCAGCCACCTCTTATGCTGGGGTCCGCCTGGGTGCAGTTCCTCTCGAACCGAAGAAGATATCGATTGGCTCTGAGTTCCGGACTGCTTTAGACGGCCGGATCATTTTTCTGCTGGTTCCGATCCCCGAACTTGACTCTTCGCTTAGGAAGACGGTGTTGCGAGTTTGCCCAGGTTGTCTTGCGTCGTGTAGTAAGAACATCTCAGGTCACGTACGCTCTGTATCGAAGTCCGCCTCAGCAAACGTTCATGTCGCGCAACTTGAAAGGTGCGCAGCGTCATGCACTCGGTTGCACGATAGTAACGCCAGCCAGCTGCAGTAGATAACTCAAATTGCAGCGCTTCCTTTGAAAAGTGCTTCCTTTGAACGGACCGTGATCGCAAAACCTGCGGATCTGGGCGAAGCACTTTCGTATACACTAGGCGCACAGTTACGCGCGATGCTCTTCTGAAGCGTAAGACATGATGGAGGGAGACCTCACACTCTGAGTTACCTGTTGTTGCTTCGCGTTGTCTACCCTGTGCCCTGCCACGTCGCCTCTCACAGATGCCGAACCAAGCTGAGAGCTTTTTTACTCGCCGGTCGACCGTCATTTCTACGCACTTGCAGGCTTGCAGGCTGCTGCAGCCCTGGCCATGCCTTGCCCCGTCATCACAAATCCCTCTCGCCCTTGTCATCTGCTCGTGGTTTCCGTGCTTGCATTCACGTGCCGTCCGCTGTTACCCCGTTTCGTTTCCTTATACTGCCTGCAGGCCGTCCTCTCAGCACGTACCCCGTGCCACCCTTCGTGTCCCCTCGCGACCCCTCTGTTTGCCGCCAGGCACCTTAAGGTCCCAGTTCTTTGAAGCAAATAGTTGAAGTTTTGTTCTACTTACTCGCTCTCCGCTCTCTTCCTCGATCCCGTTGATTTGCAGGTTGACAGCAAAACAATTGACAGTTGCTTTCCGACCCGCCCCCTGCATCGTGCCGCCATGTCACCCAAAGGTTTCCGCTTCCAAGCGCTGCACCCACTTACCCGTTTCAGTCCGTTCGGGCCACTCGCTTTCCATTTCGCCACTCTGTCGATTCCGTTTGATTTGCAGGCTGTCACGTTCCGCACCCCCCTTGCGTCGCGCTACCACGTCATCTCGAGGTCCCCGCTTCAGAGCGCTACCTAGACCTACTCCGTCTTGAGTCCCGTTCCGTTCACTCTCTCCGTTCCGCTCACTTCCTGCCTTCCGCTTACTTTCAGGCTGTCGCGTTCCGCACGGCTCCCCGCATCGCGTTGCCACGTCACCTCGAAGTTCCCGCCTCCAAGCGCTACCTAGACCTTCTTGTGGAGGGCGCAAAAGCGATTGGGTTGGACAAAGATTACGTCAGGAGGCTTGAGGAGCTGCCACGTGCCCCTCCCGCCAATGGGATCGAGAAATGGATCAGCCGCTCGTTCGCGATGTTCTTCTTCTTCTGGGCGGTCCGCCAGGTGCGTCTCACGTTCCTTCACAGTTTGTTGTGTTTCGTGTCCAAGTGGCTGTTTGAAGGGTCTCCCTGGGAGAAACTTTTTCTCCCACTTGGAAGCGGGATGCGTTTGGCCTATTCGGTGAGAGATGTTTTGGTTTGTTTACGACGTTAGACAAAATAAACAACATAGTTTGTCACCTTTGCAGGGTCTAGATACGAGATCGGTGTGGGGTGCTCTCGATACAATGCTTTATCGTATCGTTTTAGCTGCCGTCCGGCTTCTATTGAGTCTTGCAAGTTGGTGGAATCCGCCACCGTTTCGTTCTTGCAATTTATGGGTTCCGTAAATGCAGGGACAGGATGTTGCAGCTGCAGTACGGTGTCAATACTTCAAGCTTCGGCCTCCGACTATCTACTCGATCTTGGCCACTATGTAAGAGAATCAACACTTCATCGAAAACACTTACATCTGGAATCTGCGTTCTTGAGCCCCCACTCACTGTCCGAGATGAGCTCTCAACAAGTCCACGAACTGACGTGACTGTCTGTCCTGCAGCTACCCGGGATGTCCGCCGTTTACTTTGTCAAGCTCGTAGCGTTTTTTGTGTACCATTACAGGGAGGTCTGTCGGCAGTCGACGTCCCCAGCGTTGCAACTGCTCGCCTACCCGTTGCTATTTATCATGTTGCTCATTATGTTGCCCGGGAGTTTCATCGGGGTGGGGATAAGATTAGCCCGCACTTGCAGCTCCTATGTAGACAAGGGTTGGAAGAGGATCAAGGTGGTTGTTCCGGAACGGGAAGCAAAGGAGCTCAAAGTGAACTGACTGATTGATGCAGTGTGGTTCGTACGTACAGCTAGCTTCGACGACAATTATGGGTCTACGCACATATGCGCGTGCACGAGTTGATTTAGGGTGAGAGATTGCTGATATCGGTCACTGCCTTGAGGGGGCGCTGGTATTCTCCATTCACACTAGAGTCGAACATTTCGTAGGACAATTCCTCAATTAAACGGTCGAACTGCATGGCCGAATCCTCGTCAGATCCTTGTCAGGTTCCAAGTTTGTCAAATATTTGAGCAATTCCCGTTTTCTCGGAGGAGCGACTTTGGGGTTCACACCAGTTGTTTGGGTTCGCCTGATTCTTTAGTGTCGGACTTGGCTTATACGCGTAGTCCAATCTCTGCAACATCCAATTGCATCAGGTCCAGTCCGCTGCTGCTTAGTGTCGGCTGTCGTGCCGCTGCTAGTCCGACGCCCTTAGTCGCTGTCGGTCGCTAATCGACGGTTCGAGGGCCGCCGAGTGCTGCCATTTGCACCATCTTGCAAATATTCTATCATCATTGGTCTCCTTATCCATTTCCGCCGTTGTAGTTATTTAAAGGGCGTATGCATGGGTGTACAAGCTTTTGAATATGATGGCATACACGGACCGGTACTTGCGATGGGCCGCCCTGTACGATTGGGGTACGTGTGTTACAGCATGACCGACTAGCAAACATTGGATGTCGGCTGGGGCGTGGCGTATTTTGAAACGTGTTTTGTTGGTCAGTAACTTAGTTCGGGCCCGCGCGGGGCCCCACGGGCCCCGCGGCCTGGGCGGCCGCCCATCATGTCGCGCGGCCGCATGGTTGTGTACGGTAAAAGACCGTCGGTAGCCTTGGTACTTCCTGCACTATCCATCGCCTCTAGTTCGGTTGAGGCCTGTTGACGTCAACATTCGCTAAAGATTCTCCTGCAACCAATCACACGGCGAGCATTTTGGGCTGCATTTGAAAGTGACGTCAAAGGCGGGAGCTAGAGCTAGCGCCCATGCAGGCCGCGCTTCTCTGCCCTCCATTCTCGCCTGGTCCAGCTGGATTGTGAGAGCTTTCCAAGTTTCTTCTCCCTCAAGTTTCTTCAAGTTCAATTGCAGCAGAGCAGGTCGGGCGGATCTGATTGGGGCTCGAAGGCCCGGGGCGTCTTCGTCCAGGATTTGACGGGCAATTGATCAGACTGTATTCCGAAGTGCGAGCAAGTTGTTTGGGTTCGTGAGCTTTTGGGACTGGCTGTTTCTCGCGGAGGTGAAGACTTTGCTGCGTAGAAGGAGAAGTTGCTTCTGATCAAGCTGCAGCGGATCTTTTCCAATTTGTTGTTTTAGAGAAGGGGACGTAGTGCAGCCATCATGTCGAACGGGTTGGAGACCTCGTTCAGATTCAACAACCAGGATAATGGACTTGTAATCCATGCAAAGGAAAACTTCGTCAACAACAATTGGGGGGCGCTGCTATTGGTAAGTATCGACTGTGGATTATCGCTATCTTCTTGCCAATAGGCTGACCTGCTGATGCCATCGGCACGGCTGTCGGGTTGCCAGCAGGCTGAGAATGTGCTGATGGAGTCTTTCCTGAAAGTCTGTCTTGTGACTGTATTTTGCAGTAGTGATTGCATGCTTAGGCACACAAGGTTGCCATATGTGCACCTCAATGTTCGCCAAGTGAGTGCCAGGTTGTCAATAACCAGCTTTCTTTGAGGAATTCCACCACCTAGAAGTCTTGAGAATGTACCCTCTTCTCGGTAAGGCCACTTTTAAGATATCATTGCTTCATTTGCCTCAGGTTGATTGAAGTGTCAGTAATTTTGGCTTGCTCCGACAGTCTTTGACGATCACAGGTAGGTGGAAGCAACGCATGTATCTGCTGCTTACTTTCAAACTCGGCGGTCGCTTGATTGTTTGCAATGCTGACTGGTAATGGTTTCAATGCACGGTATGGCTGCTTCTGTGTTGGAAAATTTGGCGTAAGTCCTTGACTGAGCTCCTTCTGCGTTACGGTAGAACAAACGGGCTCACACCATATTGGAAACATAAGAGGTTCAGACTTGGTGAAGCGCTTATGTCCAGTCTGCCTGCCAAACTGTTGTAATAATCACGGTGACTGTCACGATCTGCTTATGCTCTGGACAGACAGCAACAATCTGCATTGCTGACCTGTTCACAAAGTTGCATTCATTCTCCAGCTTCATGCAGCAAGTGGGTAAATTGTGAGCTTTATCAGTATTGTTTGCTCGGGAATGTTTACAATCGTTTTGGTGCTCTGCTTCCGAATTGTTAAGCTTAATCTTGATTCGAGACTGAGTATGTAATTCGCTCGCTGATGAAGTTTGGAGGTGTAGACGCCGCTCCTCGACTAGAGATGCAGGCTGGATAGTGTCAAACAGCTTGCGTGAGCTAGTTTTCCATTCTAAGCCGGTTGATGTCGCCATGTGCCAATTGACCCGGTTACACTAGAATTTGCCAATCTGTTCAATTCAAAGGAGGCCGTGGACTTTCACACTCGTGCAAATGCATATGGTTTGGGTTCCTCTTTTACGGGTAAATGTCTTGCTTTTTCTTGCTGCGGTGATGCATTTGCGAGAACGCTAGGACTTCCACCTCGACCAGCTCTCTTTGTTGTTGCTTGGACGTGTCGATTCGCTGTCCAGTAGGTTCTGTTTTAGCTTCTCTTCCCGCATCATTTGTTTGCGGGGAAGACACTTGCCGTTTACAGCGGTTCGCTTCTTTGGTGATCAAGTTGCTGTGGCATGTGTGGCAGGCTCCGGGGTTGCATGGAGCATGATGTCTGTCCTGATCATGTGTTTGCGTTCTTACGTGTCCAAGTTGAGCGGTTCTTCATTTTCCGCTTTTCCGCTCTTCTTTGAACGTGCCGGGTCAAGTCGCAAAAGCGAGCGGCAGCGACTGCATGACCTGTTCAGAGCGCCTTCATACGAAGTTCGCAAACATGAAACTGGCGCACATTCAGAGAGTGTCTGTCTCCGGCTATGCATTTTGTTCGTCTTCTTCGTTGTAAGGAGAACATATGTTGCCTGGTAGTCAAGCTCATATGTCCTGGTACATTCCTGGTTCTACGCACCTTCGAACGAGTCAGCAGGATTACCTGACTGCATTTTCACAGCTTGTCAGGACCCTGTTTTGTCTGTATGTTTAGCCAAGGGTTGTAAACCTTGGCGTGTAGCAAAGTCAGGTCTGTCAGTAACTTCCGGTTTGCTTGCAACAGAGTGCTTGGTGTGTAATGTGCTCTTGATGTCCTGTTGTCAGCATGCTGGAGTTCAGTTTGTAATTGCTCTTATTCACCACTTCCTCTCCCTCTGTTTCGCATTTGCTAGATATATCACATGTAGTTTATGTAATTTTCCTTGGAACCTTATCAGATCAAACCTCAGCAACTGATCTTGTATCGACAAAAGGTTGTACTGCATCCCGGAAAACGATCTGCGCAGATAAGGAACTCAAGTCTGTCGAGAACTGACAAACATACATGTACTCTTTGCAGGTTGATGGAGCGTTGGACACAAAAGAGGGCACAATTCGGGCTAAGATTACGGGCAAGAAGAAGTTTTTCCCAGATGTGAGCATCCACAATGCCTACTCAGACCCTCAAGCCCGCTTCTTCTGTTGAATTTGGCACTTCATCTGTGGGAGCCAATAGTTGAGATTTCAAGTGATTGCTTGTGGCTCTTCTTGACCAAACATACAAACTGGTTTGCCGAGACCCCCTTCTTGATCTTCTCATTAAGCATGGCAAAGACAGTATCATTGCACATCACTAAGTTTGGCAAAGTAGGGGTCATGCTTGAGCGAATCACAATGGAAATTACGAGCAACGCAGCTGGAACAAGGACCTAGGTTCGGCAACCGGCCCGCTTTGTACAAGCTAACCACCCTTCTATGTTGTCCGTAAACCGGCTTTGCCGAGGCTATTCGATACGAAAAGCAAGTTGAGTTCCACCCTGAAGATGGTCACAAAACGGGCTATGGTCACGAAACGGGCTACATCTTTCTCGGCCGAAAAGTGGACATGTGCGGTTCTCACTAACCAGTCTTGTAAACCAAGTGCTAACCCGTCCGCTGTTTGTCCGATTTTTGCAGAGGCTGTTTCTAACGTCCGGCAAGATAGTGGGCACGCTGAAATCCGACATGAAGCGGATTACGAGGCAGGCAGGAGATTTCTGATACTTGATAACCCTCCACTTAACCATCTTCTAACCGGTTGATTATTTGGCTGGCTTTTGCAGAGGCCGTTCCTGACGTCCGGCGAGGTTGGTGCCACGCTCGAGACGGACACGAAGCAGGTTACGTACTACGCGGCCGGGAAGAAGACGTTCGATCTGTGGAACGGCGGCCTTACGAGCCTTGACCTCAAGGCATCGGCGTTCTACCACGTAAACACGGAAAAGGAGGGGCTGGTGCGTCCTCTGCTTTACAGGGCTCTGTGGCTTGTTCTGTTGTTGCTGGCCAAATTTTAAGCTGTGGGGGATGGGCGGTCTTGGCTATGGAAGAACGGCCTTGGTGCTCTGTCATGTTATCCTTCTACAGTGCTCGTGTACTACGCTTTTGTGGGGTACTTCCCTGGAGTTCCGACTCTGATTGCCAAATATGTAGCAGTACTTTCTGCTGGCTCGCGCCTCGCTTAAATGCTGACAGCTCGGAAGTCTTGTACGAAACCGGTTTTGTGATTGTGGTGGGGTTGGTGATTCAAGTTTTCCGTAAAAATTCAAGGGGGTGCTGGTGGTTTAAACTTTCCGTTAGTTACAGTCTTCCCTGGCTTGTTTATTGCCAGCTTGCTGTTTTTTCTCGTACTGGAATTGTGCCCATCATTGTTGTGGATGTCCTTATCTACCTCTTGGATCAGAAACTGATTGCTTTTGTCTTGATGTCTGTCACACAAGCAAAGTGGAAACGAGTCTAGTTGTGCTTCGTTTGCTACCGCTTCTGAGATTGCGATGGCTCATGCTAACGTCGCTGTGTTGGTGACAAGCAACTGCATACCTCGTTTTGAGCATTGTCCTCACGTTCAGTGGAGCGAGATCCCCGAGTTTGGTAAACTCGTTTGGTGAGCTTTTCTTCGTGAACCGAGAGCGTCGAGATTCCTCTTTCACCATGAGCCGCCACGAGTATGGAAAACCACTCGGCTGTGCGCAAACCAAGGTGGCAGCATAGATATAAGCAAATCAGATTACGCTGGACATTTTTCAGGCGCTCTCTCTACGAAATTGGCCGAAGTGGACTGAAAGCTCATTGAAAGTCCAGGTAGGGGAAGCCTCGCAATAGTGATCCCGTGCGCGCAGATCAAGAAGAAGGCCAAGGTCGAGTTGTGCCAGAAGATCTTCAACTTCACGGAGGAGCAGGACCTCAAGCTCAAGCTCGGCTACGATCTCCTCGAGAAGGTAAGTGTTCGTTGTATCACTGATTGAGTCACGACTTTGAAGACGGGTAGTTAGTGGCCTCAGCCTGTTATTACTCAAGCTCAACTTTGGCTGTGGTCTCTATGAGAAGGTGGGTTCTGATCGGAGCCGACACAGTTTAGGAATAGTAAGCTCACCAGCCTGGGACGGGTAGGGTTAGTTTGGGGTGGGTACGGGTGCGGAGCGGGTGGTTTTTATAGGTTGGGTTTTTAGTGTTTGGTTTGAGCTTACCGGTACTATTCCTACGGCTTACTATTCCTAAACTGTGCCGTCATTTCTGGTAGTAGCTCCGGATGTCAGGGGTCAAGTAAATGACAAAAGCATCCTTGTACGATTCGCTTCTTAGACTGCTGAAGCTCAAGCTTGGTTATGGTCCCTCAAAAGGTAACTCAATCCGAGGTCAGGGTTTCGAAGTACAGGGTTTCGGGGTTTTGTTTTGTAAGGGGTATTGTTTTGAAATCTCCGGATGACTACCTCATCGAGGCGGTGAGATCTGCATGCGGTTCGCAGAGGTCTGAGTTCTTAGGCTTAGGAGTTTACTTGAAGACTTTTGGTGTCTAAGCTGAGGTTACGACAGGTCAACAGACACAGTGAGTCGCGAGTCGCAACATGCTGTTGCGTTGGATGATAGCGCTTTTTAGAACTCAAGGTTTTTTGAGGCGTTGGCAAATGCTTCGAGAGCCGAGCCCAAAAGAGGTCAAAGCACTGTTGGCTTGTTGCATACATTTTGACGCACCACGTTCAGCTTAGTATTGGCTGTGTGGCCGAGTCTGCCATATCCAACGTCGATCCTGGAGGCAGTTGGTATTTCACGTCATCCTGTTCTCTGCGCCACTTCTGTCATGGCTTGTTTGCGGGTTTGCCTGAATTGCCCTCAGATTTCCGATTTCAGAGAGGAACTGCTAAAGGCTGTACAGACTTATGCATACCTATGTGGCGTCGTTGCAAGGTTCTATAGCAGAGTGGCACCGCACGCTGGCGCCTCTGTGAGGTTCTATGATTGGGTCGCACCATTTGCTTGGAAAGGGCGTTCTATGTCAACTCTTTTAGATAGAGTTGCCAACCCCTTATGGGGTTCTTAACCCTACGCTTCCTACCTCCTGGACTTGACGTTCTGCAATGAGCATTGGGAGCCGTGGCGCTCTTGGCTGCCCACTGAGGCTTTCCTCTTCTATGCCCTGCAGACCCCATATGCTTCCCTCCGAGAAAACCGGTGGATCCTTCACAGCAATCTGAAGGACAAGTGGACGGTTGAGTACGAGCTTTAGATTAGGCACGGTCTGTACTCGCAAGCAGGGAGTCTAGCCTTATCTACCTAAAGAAAGAAGCCTGCTTGCTATGCATTGTAGCAAGCTGTTGGGATGGCCTTAAGATATGAGTGGCAGTTTGGGGACGGTCCTTCGCAGCTGGAAACAGCTGACGAGCTCGGCTTCCGCAAAGCAGCGGAGCGTTTATTGATGACCAAAAAGAAGAACGGACTAAATTGTCGACCTATCGTTCTTTTGAGTGTAATTTTAAACCAACGATACCAATGGCCTTGGCTCTCCTTATGCAGCATCTGCCAGTCAAAACAGCTCACCATGTCTCTTGCACAAGTTGACAAGGTTGGTTCTGAGTGTTGTTGCCTTGCGGAAGTCCCAATTGTGGATCTTCAAAACCTTACTCCAGGCTGGCCTTGCGTCACATAGAGCCTGCGGGTTCAATGTTTGGATTGGCACCCCATCATCAACCTCTTTCAGTCTCAGAAGGCAAACATGTAATCGTATATGTAACTGCATTTCCCGTTCAATGATCGCAACGAATGGTACGGATAGGCAGGCTTAAGCGGCAGCCGCGCCAACTACTGAGTAGTTGGTGGGACGCGGGCGGCCATCATGCAATGCGGCAACTCAAGCAGAGGCCCGTGGCCTATCTAGGCTAGGCCCGCCGTCTGCAATCAACTTCAATCGAAGCCCAATTCGCAGTCTGGAAACGAAATGTTAAGTGTAAAAGTCAAGGGAGACTCGCACGATTCCAAATTCAAGTGATATGACCGCCCGCGCGCCCTAGTCTTGATTGGCTTCAACTTGCTGGTGCTGGGATCGGATAGGTCTAACATGGGGACGTCATCAGGCTGCATGTGATGTTTGATGAGGAGTAACCACGTGGATGGCAGTGCTTCCACTTTTTATAACTGATATAGTAATAACAGATTGAGGACTGCACTATGCGCGCGGCACTGGCCGCCGGCCCCCAAGGCCATGGCCAATTGATAAGACTTCAATTTAGGTAAAGTAAGCTTCAGGTAAAGTAAGCCAAGCAGTCTGGGATCGACGGGTGGGGTTAGTTTGGGGGTTAGGGTGTGGTTAGGGTGTGTTCGGGTGCGGAGCGGGTGATTTTGAGGGTTAGGTTTTTTACTTTTAGGCTGAGAGCTTACTTTACCTGGAGCTTACTTTACCTAAATTGAAGAGACATGGCCAATTGCATGAATGTCGGAACTTCACTTTTGACATGGGCATGGCATGGAATGACTTGTCTATTAAGGTATCTCAGGCTCAGCCAATATATCACAGTACCGAGTCTGGACTCTGCAGGGCGGCCGCGCGCGGCGCCGCGCGCCGCGCAGAGCTTCATGTGATTGCGTCAATCATTGATGTTCAAGCGAGCTATGTATTCTCTAGAGAACACCCCCCTCCGGCCACTGCCCACTCTCGGGGTTTAGGCGCCACGTGGCAGGGGCGATCGAGTTTCGGCGCACTAGCGCGCGCGGAGCGACGCGGCCAGCTTAAGGCCTGCGCGCTCAGCGGCAGCAAGTCGCCTGCGCAGCGGAATTTGTATGCGTAGCGTGCCTTTCAGGCCACAGCTCTCCGGAACCTAGTAGCTCTGAGCAAATGCACAAGTGTCCCATACCACTTGCTCTTAGCAGCTTTTAGGCTGCAATTACATATGCGAAGCTTTCATTCATCATCCATTCATTCAATCAATAC